ATCAATTCATCACAAAATTATCACTTCCAAAATACATGCAGGTCTACTTCAATTTCAAGTTTGATAATTCAATAAAGAGTATAGTACCACAAACATAACTGTCCCTCGGCCAGAAAAAAATATTTATAAATATATTTGCAACATTGCTTATTTGAAAAATTCACTTCAATCCTCTGTAATTTGATCAAATTTCAGTTAATGTAAATGTTTGCGAGTTCGCAATAATCTAAAACTTCAATTCATTTTTAAGATCAAGTGATTCCAAAATAATAATTACAGTCCATTTGAAATAAAATATACAAAATACTAGATCAAGAGGCTTTCTGCCTCTTAATCAACATGTATGCATCAGCAAATTACATCCTACCATTACACAACACATATTAATGATGTTTACAATTATATAATTTCACAATGAAATAAGACATTTCACATTGACGTATTGCTTATGATTTTCGGACATACCACTGTCCAATATATGAGGCGAATGGAAGTTTTTTATATATTTTTTTTTATTAAAGGCTACAGACGAAGACAGAGACAGACACTGGATAGTCGGCAAACACACACAAACCCTTGTCGGATGCGATGTGTAGCAAAGTGGCTTATCTATAAGACTACTACCTACTGCACTTATTGGGCTATGTACTATGAATATGACTGACAAAGAAAGCGGACAAAATATACAGTTCCTCAGGTAGACAAAGGAACATCCCTTCACTGCTATTATGTAAAAATGTGTAGAACAGGTGTCACATGCATATTCACCTTTTTACATAGTAGCAGTGAAGGGATGTTCCTTTGTCTAACTGAGGAACTGTATATTTTGTCTGTCATGTTCATAGTGTAGCTGCTCCTATTAATTTGTAGTATCTCTTTGATTTAACACAACCTTCATTTTAATTCCTTGTTTGGTTTTTATGTGGCAATTAGTCAGAAATGAGAAATGACTATTTTTGCAACAGATTTTCTTTTTATTTATATGAAAAAACAAAGTAATGTAAAAAAAAGAGACTGACTGAGCTAGGCTCTACTTTGAGGATTTGTGGTTAAGTGTCAAATAAGGTCTGCGCATGCAGGCTAGGCATTTGACATCTACTGGCTGGGCGATTTCCTGGTTTGTTAATTGATAAGACAATACATTGAGCATTTGCATATGAGATTAAATGTGGAGGATTGTCACAATACTTGTTTTCAGGTCAAACATTTTCTATTCCTAAGCTGCTAGCAGAGACATAAGGTCATTTACAGGTTAGTTTGATTAGAAAGGTGATAAAATCATTGTTTGTTTTGTTCTGTGTTTTCATAGATGTAGAACAGGTTTCGGGCCAATAGAGGTCATTTTAATTGATCATGTAGTAGGACCGTGCTTTGATTAATGTGTTACTTAATTGTTACATGGGATTTAGACTTGTAGGCAAAGCCTTTGTCAACCCCCAATGCACAGCGGTATAGCACTGACCGGGTCTGAGCTAGCCAGTATGTAGACTATACATTCTACATAGGATACACAGTCATTGTCAATTGGTAGTCTAAACGCACAGACTCTAATTTGAAACTTTAACACAACCAAGTCAGGAGGAGCTTAAATGCAGAGCCTATGGTGTGCGGTAGACTGTGCAGTCAGCCTAGTCTTTACAGTGCAGACAGTTTATAACACAAAACTACTGACAATGGTTTGGCCTGCAAACTGTATGATTATGTACTATATTTAGCCTATGATTGCAGACTCCTTTACTATAGTGGACTATCTTAAAAGCCTGCAAGTGAGCTGTTACTATGCATGTGAGCAAGTGCTTTGCTAGAGCCAGGCCACACCCCCCCCCCCCCCTCCCACCAAATGTAAAAATAAAGAAAACAAAATTGTCAGCAACAATTAACTGTCTTCAAAACTCAAAACCTGATCACTTTTGTGACTCTCTGGCAATAAAAAAGGGCATCAATTTCACCCCATCATTTTGCACACAGAAACTTGAAAGAGGTGACACCCCCCCCCCCCTAATCCCAAGCAACACCCCTGCTCTTCATTTGAATGACCTACAAATGTACATCTAATTGTCAGAAAGGGAAAAGTCTACCATCATATTGTGTACATTATACAAACAGGACTTTGTTCACATTTCTAAAAGTCTTTGGTCAATTAATGAAAACATTCACATTGAAAAAAGTATACCTAGATGATTAGCATACAATATGGAAGGGATAATATGGACGTATACAAGGCAAGGTGTTTTTTTCGGGAGGTACTACTTTTCAGCCTGACTTGAAAGGGCAAGAAATAACCAAAATTAGAAATTGCACAAAGAAAAATACAGCTATCCTTATCTAGATATACAGGAGAAACATATAAATAATACATTTTGATTTATTTAGGATATAAGATTTAAGTATTACAAATATGTATTCCTGAGCATTGTAAGGATTGGGTGTTTAGTTTTTGTTTAATGATAGTGTGGTGTAGATTTAAAACTACAATGAATGCATAGAGTGTAGTGCATAAAGTTGATTCAATACCATGATATGTGCTAACACCTACAGTGTAAAACTTCAGTGTTAACCAGGTGCCACTGAGTAAATAGAATGATTTGGGGTAAATAAAAGATTTGGCGTCATCACAAGAGATTTTAAACTGGCACCACAGGTTTGGTGTTAATTTTGCTTAACACCACACATTTTAACATTAACATCACGCTGCTTAACACCACTGGGGAGCATTACAATATTAAACACTGACTGTACACATACATATTGTATAGAACATTTGGTGTAAGACTCAAGTGTACAGTAAGCATTAAATAAAACTGGATGTACATGCAGTTGGCACCTTCTTTGAGAATTAAAATACCCCAAAGTATTTATCTCAGTGTTAACTATAGATTGTACTCTTGGTGTAACATGGACTATACTTATGGTGTAACATGGACTACACTCATGGTGTTAAATGGACTACACTCTCGGTGTATAACATGGACTACACTCTCGGTGTAACATGGACTACACTTGTGGTGTTACATGGACTACCAGGTACACTCTTGGTGCTTGTAAACTACTCAGCTTTCTGGTGTACTTATGCAAAACACTTCTGACGAATATACACAAACACTGAACACGTACACTGCTGGTTGACACATACAGACATCCACATATCCACATACATACATACATACATACATGTCCATGTACATGAAATTACATATTTACATTTCTATCATAATAATATACTTCGTTTCCATACATCCTTCTTCTTCTATTATCTCTTTTGGCCCTTTTTGGCAATAAATAGAGTTAAAAAATAAGAGCATCTGAATAAAAAAATTAGCCTTTCTCTCTCTCTCTGTAGTAACAACTCTCAAAAAAATACTTTCAATTGCAACGTATCTCATCAAGAAAATAATGCATCTATAATAAAAATTATGCATTTATAATAAACCTCACTTTGTCCACATCATATAACAGCAACCAACATTCAATAACAAAGAACAGTTTTGTTTGCAATGGGCTACTAAGAAAAGAGGAAATTCCTGGTTTTGTGGTCTGTTAAAATTAAAAAGGGACACATTGTCACACTTACGGTACATTGGAGTTCAATTCTCCACATCCACAAAACCACTTTTAGTAATTGTATGTCTTTTCTTTTTTCTCCTTCTTTTTCTTATATTATCATTTGATGTCTAGCCTCCTTCCTGAAGAATAGATTTTATTTTAATGTAATTCATACAGAAAAATGGTTTATTGAATATAACTTTTGAATGTGTTCAGAACACGACAGCTATGGATACAGCTAGCATATCATATCCAACTTCAATTGTCTTTACAGCAAATGAAGATAAGCCAATTTTATTGCATTTTTTTGAAACACCATTTTTATACTTTGCATTTTTTATTGAAGGTTAAATTGTGCCCTCAATTTGCTCGAGCACAACAGAAAATGCATGTATACATGCATTAGAAAACTAATGTGTTTTACCAGCTTTGTAGTGTACAGTTGAAAGTTCATAACGAATGAACACTATTTAAAGTAGCCATTCGCTCAATCAAACATTCTTAGCAAATTTCTCCTCTTTACTTTGTGGCACAGCAAACAAACATACATCATTCATCCAATGACTCACCATTGGTACACATACAATTTTCAAAAGTCTTTATTGAGGGGTCAGTGACACAAAGACGTAACTCTATTTTTTCCATTTTGAGAAAAAGTGGTTTATGTGTCACTGAGCACTTGGGCCTTAAGGAGTTAAGTCTGTGTTTTACTAGCCATTGACTTCAATGGGGTGTTAGGTGCGGTTAAGTCTTTGTGTTTCCAGTAGCGCCTACATTTTTCTGAACATTTTGATATCAAACACTCATTTTGGTAAAATATGGAGTTACGTCTTTGTGCCACTGAACCCTCGACATACAATTTTGACAAGTCTTTATGATAAGTTACATAAAAGAAGGGTATTTGCATCGATCTCCACGATATGCACACATTAATTGTACGCTCAGAGCCAGAAGGGATTATTTCAAATCATTTACAACAATGTAAAATGCCCTTCTGGCTCTCAACAGGGTAAGCGTTACCTGTATATCGTTCTGTTTACCTTTAGCCAACGCACAGCCCGATATGTGTGCGGGAAACTTGTGTATGCACGCTTGAACATTTTGGGATCTTGTTATATACACAAACACATCCTCGTATAATTATGAATCCCATTGGGGCAATGATGATCAAGAGTGTGTGTGTTCATCACAAGAATGGCCATTGTGACCTCACAAAGACATCTTTCAGCATAATTCTTGAAAGACATCTTTCAACAAACATCTTCGGCCTGCATTGTTACCCTCTTATCATAGGGGTGGCTAATGAGGTGAAGGCAGAACTGCCGATGGGAGAGAGAAAAGAGGAAAGAGACTTTCAGTACGATAACATATCTAGTCATCAGAAGTGATGCTGATTGCTGAAGCCACTCTTTGAAGTCCATGAACTAGGCTTCTGCAGACGCGTATCAGCTTCATACTGCACACGTCTGCGACTGTCCAGTCGCCATCCTCAAGACGTGGCATGGGAGCTAGTCGAAACTGGGCCGGCCAACATTTGGGATCTGACCTCTACATGCAGAACATCTCGCTCATCCGTAAACAGACGTACGACTCTAAAGGCTGGACGATTTTGAGGAAGAACTCACTTGATTCCGGCGCTGACATTCAATTACAACACAATATTCTTTTGACCATGACCAAGGTTGAGGAAACAAACAACAGATCAGGGAGTATTATGTTTCTTGGAAGAGGACACGCGCAACACTAGCATGATTCCATGATGTCACTTCCTGTTAACCTCTGCCCTTCGACCTCTGCAGAGTGAGCTAATAAGCTGAGGTCATCCGATTCCGAGCTGTCGTTGGATCCCTCGCTACCGATACTGTCCTGTCTCGCCCCACGCTTGTTGGTCACTGCTGCGATGGGGTCGCTGCTGACCACACCCTTGTTGCAAGAGAGGGCGGGGCTTGGCTTGTGCTGGGAAGAGGGGTCAGAGGGTGACCTGTGGGCGGGGCTAGGGGTCGGCCGTCTGACCCCTGACCCCAGGCAGGAGTTTGCGCACGGTCTGAGGAGCTGTGGGTGCACCATGATCTCTCCTCGCACCCCCTTGAAGATGGTCCCACAACAAATCTTCTCCCTGTTAAAGAAAGATATATATACATTAATGACCATCTTTTAATCAAAAACTGAAAGAAGTGATGAAGTCATGAATGATGATGATAATAATGATGATAATAAAATTAATGATGATGGTAATGGTAATTGTGTATTGGTGGTCATATTGATGGTAAAAATGATGGTCATTAGATAAAACTTCAAAGTAACACATTAATCAAAGTGACCTACAGTATATTGACCTGAAACCTGTTCTACATCCATAAAATCAATATTAACATCATAATATATCTACAATCATAAATTGTTGTCGATTAATAATTCCTTTCTAACAAGTTTTCAACACAACTTAGCCCTACAATTCACTCTAACGAATTGGAACTGAGGAGAATTCAAAGAAACGGCACAAGTCAGAACTAATATCCTTCATTACACTTAAAGCTATATTATGCTTCTCCTTCAGATATCATTAAAAATTATTCCACGCTGTAGATATGATATGACTTACTGAAGCACTCAACTATGAACTTATATTGCTCTGAAGAAGAACAACATATAAACAAAAGCACTTTGTTAAAGAAAAAGATTTATTTTAAAATTGCCTACATTTTCCAGTAAGAAGTGTCAATGATGGAGGCCAGTAGAGGGGGTAGTTCATCTAAGTCATCTGATGATATTAACCCAGTCCTAGATCTTGGCTGGGAGGCTACTGAGATGTCTGAGGCATCACTGGGGGTGGGGCTAGGTGGCGATGCATCTTCCGCTGAGAGGTACGCAAAGGAGAGAAAGGGAAAAGACATGATTATTGTCTGCATTTGATTAGTGCTATTAACATGCAGGGCCCTCATGGAGAACAGTATTAATACTGATGAGGCTACCCTGGGTAAACAAGACATATTATTATTATTATTATTATTACTACTAAAAGGATAGCTGAGTTCTTGTTTAAGACCGCAAATGCCTTCAAAATGCATGGTTATTGCTCTTATTCTTATTTATGACATTTCTATTGCTCTTTTAGGACCTAAAATTGCTATGAAGGTAATTTTAGACCCCAAAATGTGTGCAATTTAGCAAATACGATCATACCAATTCAGCTCCACTTTTAAAAGAATAATGGTAACTGTTAATTAATTTATTCATTAATAATAACAATACACAGGCCGGCTGGTAGTGCGTATTATAACCAACATGAAAAAGCCAATATCGGCATTGGCTGGAATAAAACGTATGAGGGGCTATCTCGTTTTTTCAACGGCTGGTTTAAATTATGGAATATTTGTGGGGCACCAAAAAATATTAGAAATTGTTATATTTATGGATATTTTAGCCGTCTCTGAACCGATTTTGATCAAACAAAGATGATTTTGTCATTTAAATTGTATGTTCTTTCAAATTAGACTCTCAGTTTTTCATTAGCTCACAAAAAAAAAATTGTGAAGCACCCTCTGCAACAAAACTCAACTATCCCTTTAAACATCCTATCCAAGGGACCGTACAACTCTAAATTCAATGAATCTCTTACTGTCAGGATGACTCCTTGCTCTCAGCCCGTCCAGGAGCTGCATCCTCCTCTTCCGCTCGGCGTGCTTCCTCTTGTGTCTCCGGCTCCACCCGTGCTCCGTCACCAGGGAGCCGGGGTTGTTGTTGTTGCAGTTGTTGGAGTAGAGGTTGGTGGGCGCGGTCTTCTGGGTTTTGAGCTTCTGCCTCAGCTGGGACTTCCCCCCTGGCCCCGCCCTGGCATCTACTACCTGGTGGTCGATTGAAGGGAAGGTGTAGTAGAGTGAGTTAGTTCAATTTGGTTCAATCTTATTCTTTTTCTCAATCATACAAAAAAACAATGACAGTTGTGAAGTCTGACAGTTATAAGAGCTATAGAAGAACAATGATATACATGTATATACAGTGCAAGATTGGATGCAATTAAGGGAAAATTGAACTGCTGAAAACCTGCAAGGCCGCGTAGTCCTCAACGTATACAAAATACAAACAAGTTTATCAACCCCACTGGATATACATACAAGCTTGATATAATTATGAACTTAATACCTTTAAAGGTGCTAAGAAAAAAAAGTTTATCACAAAACACAATTAAAATCCCAAAGGTGAAAAGATAGTTGGAAATAAATGAATTCATTTCCTGATTTTCAGGTGGTAACCATGGCAATGGCTGAAACTTACATGGTTCCAATTCCTCTCGGTTCCCTTGGGTAGTTTCTTCCACCTCTTGATGAGTAGCACACAGGCGTTGCAGATCTCTCCTTGTCTCTGCTGGCCCTCCACCAGGTTGAAGCAGTTCTTGAACTCCATCTCATACTTCTTGCTGTCTGGAAATGTAGATGCATAGTAGAAAAATAAGGTGAACAATAATTTGTGAGCGTTATCATTGTATTATTTGTGATGTCGAAGAACATCAGATAATGTTCCCTGAAAAGCATGGCTCTTCAAATGCCTTAATATTCTTGATATATTCTTGATGTAGTCCAATATACATATTTCTGTGTACAGTGCTTGTAACTTTACCAAGACTGGGCCAAATTTCTTATCATTTTTATGATTCCAGAACCTTGCAGTACACATCAATACTTATATGCCAGATGATCAATCATCAACCTTCTCTGATCGATTCCACAGCGTTTCTTTCACAATGCAATCGCATGACCAGAACTCAACCTTATCTTCAAGTGTTATTCTTGAGTTGAAGAGAAGAGAGCTTACACAGGTGTTTTAACATGTGAGGAAAGTTTTTATTAAAAGGCATGGTTGCGCCCTCTAACTGAATATACATGAAAGTCTGTCAGTTGATCCTATTTATGTGATTTACTGTAGTCAACTGACAGACTATAATGTATATAAACAGGATACTGTTACATAATCCAGTCTTGTATAGCGCATAATACATCATGAGTCTTGATCATGATATCTGGACATGTCTTGGTCTAGTGGATATGTCACCAGAATGTAGATCACATATGGTCCGCGGTTCATTCCCCGCCATGGCACTAATGTCCTTTGACAAGACATTAATCTACATTTGCAACACTTGACCTAGGTGAGGTAAATGGGTACCTTTTGCTAGGTAGGACAACTCATAATGTTTGCCCTACCTAGCAACAACTACATGTAATGTTTGCGTTTTGCATCTTGACTACTGAGATTTATTTATTCGTAACAGGTGAATGAAATAATTTGCAATGGGGCAATTACCGGTAACAAAGATTTGTGCATTCAATTTTATTATATTACGAAAATAGTCATACCGGTAGTCTATTATTTCATGATGAAAAGAAAAAAAAATGTTGCAACAGGAAACATGTAATAATGATGATACCTCTAATCGTTCTACCATTATTGATATTCATGACTCTAAAGGAAATTAGCACATGACACAGCTGGTAAATGAATGACTCATGACATGGGTTCAAACAGTAGTAGGGCATGCGTGGGATATGATTCATTTTAAATCCTTTATACCGCGGTAAACCTGTGTTAAAGGTCATGCGTTACATTTTGGTCATGACTAGAAATGAGATTCTCTCAGAATAATACAGGGGACTTTATGATAATAATATAATAAAAACGGTGCTTATAAAGCGCTAACCACCAAAGTCTGTAAGCGCTAAGAAACAAAATACAATGATAAACCATTACTTGTTAAACAAAACCAAAAAAAAAAAAAATTACAATACATGTACATATGAAATATACATCAATGTGAACAGAGTAAGCTAATCATCAAAAGCAATTTTGAAAAAATGTGTCTTAGAATCTGTGAATGAAAGATCTACCAGACGGAATTGATATATGTAGAAACTGTATAGTAGCCCATATGATAATTGAAAATTTAAAAGCATACAAAGATGAGGATTCGGGGTAAAATGGAGGTGTCGTGATAGAGTGGTTCATTCACTCTCAATCTCAATCTCAATCCCCGTCACTAGGTCCCCAGGGAAACAATATCCATAAGTTTGAATATGCTAGTCAGTACACCAGTCTATTGGGCAACTATAACGTTTCACCTAAACATCTTGATTGAAAGTTAGTTGACATTTGATTAAAATGGGTGTATTAGAGTTAACATGCTTTTATACAGTCAAACCTGCTTTAGTGACCACCTGTCTACAAAGACCAAGTTTATGTTTCCCTTGAAAATGGTTTCTCATTGAAACATGTACTAAAGGAACCTGTCTACTACAAAGACCACCTGTTTACAAAGACCACTTTTTGTGTTTCCCCTTTGGATGGTCTTTAAAGACAGGTTTCACTGTACTTATGAGTCGGACAAGTTAAAGTACATGTATGTATGTAGTATGTGTACTGTGTGATGTGTGCGAAGGAGGGACTGTTCACACTTACCTGTGAATCTGGAGCTGGATGACTTGGCCTTGCAGATACAGCACCCGGCTACACTGCGGTAGATCTTGGGACGGTGGAATGTGAACATGGCTGCTTGCTTTTGCACAGGTCTGCAAACTGTCATGAGAGAGTATATGAGTTCATTTGTAGAAGATTGTGAGTCATAAATGTGTAACAGGAGAATAAGATGGAATATGAATACAGCTGAAACATTACTGTAATGAGGGGCACATACATGTATGACCGGTGACCGGTGTGTTGGCTCAGTCAGTAGAGCGTCCACCTCACAACCACTCACGTTAAAAGACGGGAGTTGCTGCTACCTTGTTTGGTGTTCAACAATAAGAGATAGAGCAACGTCGATCTGGCGCTGCTCAGTGGCTGCCGGGCTCACGATCAATTGGGCAAAAAGAATTTCCATTTTCGGTTTAACTTAATAAAATTTGGAGTGGACTTTAACAAATTATTATTATTATGTACATTTACACAATTTTTTGGGCTGTATTGCCCTTTAGAGTGACAAAACATGGGTCGGTCGGTCAGAAATCTTTATACAAATTTTTAAAAATCTTCTTTTTTCTCCCTCTTTGGGCTGATATTTGTCAGTTTTTGTATTCATTAAACATTTTTTTCTCTAAAAAACAGTAAATTTTTTTCTTCTAAAAGCCGACCATAGATTTCAAGATTTTGGGGTCGGTCGCAAAGGGCAATATAACACTTTTTTTGTGTACGCCTTATTATAAATCAAGGCCTCGGTCTATGCTTGTAAGTAATAGTAAGGTGAATGAAATAATTTGTATTGAGGCACTTCACAAAGACGTGTGCATTAAATTTGGTTGCGTTAAGACAATTTCATTTCTCTGATACTCGATACTCAATCCAACAAGAAGAGAGGCTATGCATACATGTACAGTACTTTGATAAGAAGTGATGCGAGATGAGTCATGTGTGTTGTTGGTTTAGATGAAATGGGAACATGGCTCTCCAAGATTACCACCATGATCGAGTTAGGTTGTAAATGTAAAGAGCTAAAGAAAAAGGTGATATATTTTTTTATTGAAAAATATGAGTCAGCTCACTTTGGCAATAAATATTCAATTTTATTGTACATTAAATTGATAATCACTTTAATTACTACCAAAAATACATTCTTTGATATCATAAAGTCAAGTTCATTTTAATCTATTATCAAGGATAGTTTAATCTCACCATCGATCATATTTGTAATGGTGGTCTAAATTTTGATATTGTGAGCTTAACTGTATTTTTTGCCCGGCTATAGAATCACAAAACATGTACCAGGTATGCAAATCGCCAATCAACCTTACAAAATTTCTACTGCTCATTGTAAATATGTACAATACATTTTTATGTATGGCGCTATAATTATTAATTGTGATCTACATGTACACCTGCATGTAAGTAGTCACTAATCCGATTTGCAGCTACTGTACACACATAAGATATTTTGCATCTTAATTAAAGTGCATGTGCACCAGTGTTAGGAGCTTATGGATTTAATCAAATGAAGATTATGATTATCTACTTGTATGATGTACCTCATGAATATGCATGAGGTGATTCACATTATAGATTAATTAATCACCTGTGTAAAGATCAGTGAATCAAGAGATTGCCCTTGCATGATGAGTCACAGAGTGTGAACGTTCCCAAGCTCTACGTGTGTGTAAGTGCATTGGGTCGGTCTGAGGATGGGGATCGACTCTGTATCATCAAGCATGCATGAGTCATGCGTTCAGATTGCGTGTGAACAATCGCAGTTAATTAATTACTTCTTACACACTAACACGTGTATATACCTGTACCTATGTTATCATGTGCAATGTGCATAAATTAATGTAAAGTACCAGCAGGCCTACATATATCTACACATGAATACCCTTCTCTCACATACCCTGCTTTAATACATCACAGTTGATCATGTATCGTGCGTGGGGGCGGAAGGTTGGGGGGGGGGGGGGGGGGGAGGTCAAGGCTGATAAGTGGGTACCTGTAAAAACTATAAATTGTTTTGAAAATGTTTAGCACTGTCACTAACCCTAAAGCAAGTCTCAACACTAGTTTAACCCCTTCTGCAGAGATGCCAACCTTCTTCAACAAAAAAAAAGTATTCTTAAGAGCAAAAAACAGTATTTTGGGACAAAAAACAGTATTTTTGAAAAAATCTCTCACCTTAACATATCGCCCAACCGAGTAGCTTAAATAAAACGGCAGTACCACGTATACGAACCCGGATCGGAGCGCGACGTGCTTACATTACACGTGCGTTGTTCGCAATGTGCACAGTTTGGGGCCCGTATCATCATCCTGCATGCATCGTTTGAAGACGTAGGTGCATAATAGACTTACGACACAAAGCCCATGATCAGAAATTAAGAAAAACGTCACTAACAAAAAAAAAATTTAAAATTAAAAAAAAAAAATTAAAAAACGTAACAAAACATACAAAAAACATACTGCCGTATTCATAGCGAAAAAACGGAACAAATACGGCAAAAACGGAACAGTTGGCATCTCTGCTTCTGGATAGGAATTATTTTTAGGGCTACATTGATCACATATTGTTTTTCAGATGGCAATCAATAATAATTGTTAGGGCTCGGAATCACAAGTTATTGAGCCATACCACAAAATGTGGAATTGGCGGATCAAGGGGGGAAGGGGGCGCAAGAAGCACGAAGCCCCTCCCTGGGGATTGTACTACTTGGATGTATTGTAGTTCTACACAATTACTAGATGGTTTTTAGTACTTCAAAAAAAATTCTGAATTAAAGAAGTAAACACAGAAAAGAGCCTTAAAAATAGATAGCCCAATCAAATATTATCAGTCTAATCTGAATATTGCCATATTACGATTGAACTTTGTAAGTAAACCTACTAATAGTAGTACTGTACATTTTTTAGCCAAATCTGGCCATTAAGTAACTGCGTAATTTTTTTATTCCTTTTTTCTTCAATGCAGTGCAGACATCACACATCTAATGTATATCATGAAGCCAAACACACAAATTATTTTATTGAATATTGAAGCGACAGCATGAAATGGTTTCCTTTTTCATTACACCCTCGATACGAGGGCCAAATCTATGGATCAATCGGGGCTATTTTCATCTCCCTGACTTACTCGAATCCTACTCTAGAATACATAAATAGTCCATGCATAATTGCTTTCTGATGATGTTGATGATCGTGATGGAATAACTTTGTGATTGGAAAGCTAGATAACTCTCTCTATGCCGTTTGTTCTCTCCATTCTCTCTCTCTCTCTCTCTCTCTCTCTCTCTCTCCTCTTCTCTTCTCTCCGTACATTACCCGTATCTCTTTCATTCTGCTGTCAAAATAGGATTTTCTACAGAAAAAGCCTGTAACTGTTGATAAAATCTTCTCAGATGATATTTGTCGTTCCAGAGCCCCATATACTGTATGTATTTGAGATTTTTAGAACTCATGAAAAGCTTCTCAAACTGCCCCCCCCCCCCCTCCCATGGGATCATATACTCAATTAAATCATCATGCTGCGATATATAAAGTAGAAAAATAAATAAATAAATAAACAAAAACAATGACAACAATCTTTACAATACCCAGATCAGAAACTGTGGTGACTTACTCCTGAATCGATTAAAAATGATTTACTACCATCTACCGGTACTCAATTATAGTTTCTAGCACCCAGTAACCTATCTATAGCCTGTATCTTGTGTCTGCACTTTTCTGCTGGTAATGATGGTACATGTATATGGATTTTCAACCTACATGTGCATGATAAGAGATAAATACAAGTACATGTAGCTGATTAGATTACGAGTGTTACATTTGATATTGTTAGTCACAATGCTGTATCACACAGCTGGTAGGGTAAGGGGGGGGGGGGGGGTCATAATACTAATCAGAGGGGTATAGAAGGTGGCATGAGAGGGAAGAGAGAGAAAGAGAGAGAGAGAGAGAGAGAGAGAGAGAGAGAGACAAAGAGAGACAAAGAGAAAGAGAAATTCAGAGACATTTGATCAAAAGAGCAATTTGGCATGGGAAGCAACAAAGAAATCTCCTCTGCATGAGATCTGCACAAAGGGCTTGGCCAATGTATTGTGTACGCACTGTGGCAAAATAACAATGAAAGTGAAATATGACTGAAAAAGACTAGACTTCAAAAATGTATCGATACTTGAAGAATATGAATACAATTACTGAGGCAGTCATAATAGTAATCAAATAATTATTTAAGGCTGAAGGGGTTCTATTTTCAGGAGGGGGGGGGGGGCACTAGAGTAGAGACAGGTTAGCTGTCACCTGACATACAATGTGTTTGCATTGTGCAGGATGCAAAATGATAATAATGATAACAATAATAATAATAATATATGGATGTACATCGTGCCTTTTCCAGTGGATACTACTCAGCTAGCATTGTCTAAGGACAAATTAAGAATGATTTTTTTTTTTGAAGAAATGAAGTGAAGTACTATTTTTCATTAATGCAGGGAGTTTAATCCATAGACATGGCACAACGGATTGGAACAATTTAAAACCAGCCAGTTTTCAGGATTTCAAAATGAGAAATGCCTAGTTTCAACGTACTACATAAAGAACAAAATGACAGTCAGTGTCTGCAAACAATGTCCATCAATGGAGTAGATAATATTCTAAAAACATGAAGTAAATATGCTTTGATTTGTAGAGACAAGGAGTTTGCACGTTGACTATACAGACCTAAATGTATGTACATACATGACACTAGCCAGTAACCACTATAACAAGTGTTGAACATGACATCATCACAAATGATGGATGCAGTTGGTTTTGATACTAAAGGTCAGAGGTCAGTGACATGTCACGTAAATTGAATATTATTTGTAAACAGAGGATGAATTGAGAGATTGTTCAATTGCTCTCAACCATCTTGTTTACATCAAGACGATGATGAAATGGCAACAATAATTTATATACATTAGTCATTACAAATAAAATATGCGTCATATTATTAGTATGACAATGAGTGAATTAAATGAACGCTGAATATCATGTGTCACACTCGCGCTAAGAAGAGTAAGACAAGAGTCAACATATTTGTCTTTTAGTTTTTTCAACTTGGCAAATATTTGCTGTCACACAATAGCATTATGAAATTTTAGTATAAAATACTCACATTTTGACAATGACAATATATTCTTCCTCTATAATTTGTCCTAAAATGGTAAAGTCCTGGGAGCGATGTACTAAATCCAACCTAGCTTCAGAGATGCCAAATTACAACTGTGAGTCTGTGTGTGGTTGAAAAAAACCTCTCAAAACTGTCTTTGTCCACCAAGTTCTGGGAGCCTAGACCACAATAAAGAAGGAACCTAAACAAAACATCACTCATTGCCAGCTTAGCCCAACCGCAACCCAGTAGGACAGTGTGCATAAATTATGGACCCTTCTGGTCTCGGTGCTACCCAATAGGAACAAAGCACAGGGGGAGAATAAAGCCCAAATCCTGGCCATATATCGCTTTGTTAGGCTCAGTGGCTCGCGAGCGGCACGTGCCAGGCACGCGAACAAAGACCCCCAGCGAGGCCCGGTCGATCAAGCAGGACCAACCGAAGCCCTTTGTTTATGGAGTACGGAGAGCTCAGCTGAGAGGGGGAAACAAAAACAATCCTAACCCAGGAAATCTCTTGTTTCCGGGGGAAGTTGAAAATAGGGGGAAACGGGAGAGGAACAAAGCATTATTATTTCAAGGAGTGGAAGATAATGGAAAATATGGTTAAAAGAATATACCTTGCCACCGCCGATGAAGCAAAATATCTTCAGTGACATTGAAAAATGTCAAGCTTCCCGAATCCTCAAAATTACCATGTTCGGCGACGGATTGATCTGTGTGTAATATAGTGTGCACACCAGAGCTGGCCTAGCCTAGCCGGTCGGTTCGCCGTTACACACCCACGTGTGGTTTCGTAGTACGCCGGTCAATGAATGCGGCCATGTCGGAAATTCGAAATGAGACCCCATGTTCTTGCTCAAATCAGCTAATCTAGAAGATGTCTTACCTTGAAAATTGACAGATGTACAGATGAATGGATTCTCTAGAGGAGATGACGAACTGGACCTCTGGAGAAAGTTGATACAACACGAAAATCTTTGATAAAAAAATAGAAAGTATTTGGCCTCGGCAAGCGCGTCTCGATCATCTAGCTGGATGGAGCAATTTAATTCTGATATAGCCCCCTCTCTTGTCAGAGTGATATAAATGTTTTGATGAAAATAAAACTGGAATCGATTTATTTATTTTTTTAAATCACGTTTCTTTTCAAATCATCTAAAGAAACTCCTGTCGTGAAAGAACATTTAAGGGTTTTCATCTGCACCTTATTTAAACCTTGCTAGATTGAGAATGGAAATGTTTGAATATGGGCATTTGTTCAGCTTTGAAACTTTGCTTTGATAAATTAAATTATCAATTAATCAGTGCTGATAAACGCTTAAAACTATCATTGTTCTTATCAAAGATTAGTCAAAATTAGCACTGTTATAAGAGATATGAGAGAAAGTGACAAGCAGTGTAAAGTCAGAATATTTGTGCGATCTTATTCGTCCGTCACCTTCATTCCTTGACAAATATTACTGAAAAATAGAAAAACAAGATTAGTTGCAGTGATAGTCCTAGTATTTGAAAAAAGGTTAGAAATTGTATAATAGGGCAACGTCAGATTATAAAGGATGATTATCACAATATATTTAAATGAAATAGCATAGTCATTAATTTGTCGCTTTTAAAGCTGGTATCAATATGAAGAAAGATCAATAAGAACTGCATGGGATTAAGGAGACGGTTGACCGTCTACTCAAGCTTTTGCTTATAACGGCGACCTTCTGCTTTCTTTCTTTATACACGCAATGGCCCAACGTATAAGTTTACTCTTACTCATGTATTATATATTTGTTTCTATATTTTGTATATTGTTTGCATACCTTATGTTTTATATAATTATCCATATTTGTTGTATAACTGATTTGTTTGATTGCAGAAAATAAAGTCTTTGAAATGAAATGAAATGAAAAGGAGAGAAAGAGAGAGAGAGAGAGAGAGAGAGGGGAGTGAGAGAGAGAGAGGAGGGAGAGAGAGAGAGAGAGAGAAAGAGAGAGAGAGAGAGAGAGAGAGAGAGAAGAAGAAAAGAGAGAGAGAGAGAGAGAGAGAGAGAGAGAGAGAGAGGAGAAGGGAAAGAGGGAGACAGTGACGTTGGTACATGTATGAGCGCGGGTTTTTAAAAGAATCAACATGCAGCTTGTTGGTCATTATTATAATTGTTTGAATATTATTCGAATTGATATAATTAGGCAGTAACACGGAATTCAACGGAATTGTAAACTAGCTCTAATGAAATGTAGGTCAAAGGTGCTGCTTTACTAACGCCTACATTTCTTTTGTCTATTTGTCATGTGTTTTTTTCTTCTTCAACTTAATAAGGAAGTGGTATGATTGTTTTGTAATGAAACATCCTTTTCTAATCGCGGAAGCTTTTGTTGAGCAACTTCCGCATTCACTTATTTTGTATTTGTTCAGACAATGAAATTGGATAAGGACGAGGTAATGGCTTAACGAATACAAATGATAAAACATACATTATAAGAACTATTGTCACAATCGCAACTATTTTCGATCGTATACTATGTTGACTTATGTCCCATAAAAGTCATGTTCGGATTGCGTAATACCTCTATTGTCCAAAATTTTAATTCAGTTAAGTTGCTTTTGATATTTTAAAAATTATTAATTGAAATGTACCATCTTGCTGACAAGCAGCTTTAGCTGATCATTATCTTTTTTTTTCTTCTTCTTCTTCTTCTTCTTTTTCCTGTTCTTTCTTCGTCATGTAATTTGTTACGTCTTCTTGTTTACAGTCATTACGTGTTTTGATAAATGTTCTCTGTTGGCCACTATTCTTCTTTGATTGATTAAGTATTCCATATTTTTTTTACACTCATTAAAATTATCTGAGGGGTCCACAATTTACAAGCTCTGCTTTTCAGTGGACCTCTCAATTTCCTCAAAATATAAATGCAGTTAAATTTTAAAATTCATTTTTTTTGTCTTCGTAAAATGTATAAATTATTACTATGTTTTGTATACATTTTACATTGTATTCGTTATTATGTATTGTATTTTGTTGGAAATGAAAAAATAAAAATGAATGAATGAAATGAATTATAAGGTTTCGGATCGATAAAATCGACTCCAACTTTGATATTTCAAGGCAACCCATGCAATCTTAGTAATAAGTTTAATTGTATGATAGCAGAAAAAAGAGAAAATGAATGGCGACAGTTTGAAATAAATCAGAACAATGATCAGAGAATTGTGCATGTTTTAAATATTAGCTCTGGGTCCGGGGGGGGGGGGGGTACACAGATTTGGTTTCCCATTTATAAGGGGGAATGTTTAGGCATACTTTTGTTAAAAATGGGACCCACATGAATAGTAACTTTTTGTGAAAAAGTGACCCATTAGAGCGACGCACCCCGTATGTCTTAATATGTGAGTACCCCCCCCCCCCCCCGGATGCGTATAGTCATCGACAACTCGCCTGTTTGTCGTGTACAAACACATTATTTATTTGTATTTTCTCATAAGTGCCTTCTCCCGTGGGGAACTACTTAAAATATATTTTGGATAGCATCATTGGCGTATCGAGGGGGGGGGGGGGGGGGGGGGGGGGGGTTGGGAGTTCAAACACCCCTTGGCAAACAGGGGGAGGGGTTAGGTGTTCAAACACCCCCTGGCAAAAGAGGGGGTATTTTAGAATGTTTAAAGACACCCTCTGACAAAAAAATAAAAAGTATGATAATTTTTGTTTGCTCAAGGGGGGGGGGGGGTGGTGGATGTTGGCGTTCAACCCCCCCCCCAAAAAAAAAAGTGCTACCCCCCCCCCTTATTCACCGGCTGGCTGATTCGCCGCTAAATATTTTCTCACGAATCAAAAGTGGGAAAACAAAAAAAAAAGTGCATGCGCTCCTTCCCCCCGCCCCCCCCCCCCCCCCGCTTAATCTCCCGCTAGCTAATTCGCCGCTGAATATTTTCTCAGGAATTCGGCAAAAAACACACCTCCCCGTACAAAATCCTGACTACGCCCTTGGATAAAATTATATATTTCATCTAAAAAGAAGAGACCCTCCTGAGTTATACATTTTGAAAAAATTAGTGTCCTTTTCATCATGTTGCGTCTGATTTCGTTCATACCTTCCTGCAGTGGCGGATCCAAGGGGGGAGGGGGGGGGGGGCGGTGGGCCCGGGGGCCCCCCTTTGAGAAAAGAATCATGTAAAAACACGTGATTTTTACCTTTTTGGGGGGTTGGGCCCCCCCCCCCCATCTAAGCGAATCTTCGGCCGGCGCGATTTTCAAATTTTCGGGAGCAAAAAAAAAAAAAGTGCTCACTACTTATTTTGACAATGATGCATTCTCATATTTTATTGAATAATAATTTGCCAGTGTTTGTTTTGAGTGACTGCTAAAGCATGTGTACGCTACTATGCTTATCAACTAGGGGACCTACGCCCTTTAATCATAAATGACAGTAATGAGGATTAATGCCCCACAAAAAGGGCACTAATATAGCACATCAACACGGTTTTGATCCTGGGGCCTTACAGTTACGAGGCCATTGCTTTGCCACTGAACCATGACTGTACGCAGCGGGGGCTAGGGCAGGGGGCAGTTCCAACACAAAGAAAATGCAATAAATTATCAGTAATTCATTGAATTCCCCCTGGTCCCTAACAGAAAAAATCTACTGTGCGCCCATGCCTTGAGCCATAACGCATGGCCGTACAGAGGATTTTTTATGTTGGGGACCGGGGTAAAATGCAATGAATTATTGATAATTTATTGCATTTTCTTTTTTTCTTCCTCTCTCTCTCTGTCCCTGTTTTTCTCTCTCTCTCTCTCTCTCTCTCTCTCTCTCTCTCTCTCTCTCTCTCTCACATTTCGCTCTTATTTTCCCCTTCCGATTCTACCCCCTATGGGCAACCACCCTCTAGGATGACTACCCCCTAATAGGACAACCATCCTCTAGGACGACTACCCCCGGGATTACCCTCTAGGATGATTACCCCCAGCTAACGTTACCCTCTAGGACAACCACCCTCCAGGACAAAACCCGGACAACTACCCCTGGACAACTACCCCCAGACAACAGTTATCCCCCTATGACAACCACCCTCCATAGGACAACTACCCCCGCCCAACTATCCTAGGGGGTAGTTGTCCGGGGGAGTTGTCTTAGGGGGTAGTCGTCCTAGAGGTTGCCGATTGCCCTGGAGGGTGGTTATCTATAGGGATGGTTATCCGGGGGGGTGGTTGTCCAGGGAGTAGGTGTCCGGATACGATTGCATAATACATGTTGAAACGTTAAATGTAATACAAAGTTTTGGTATGGGGTCATGAATTTGATTCAAATGATCATATTGGAAGCACTATGCGATCCTACAATATACAGTGATCGTTGTCGCGGTTGAAATCGAGTCTAAAGTTATGAAATTGTAAATAATAACTCTTTATGTTGTATAGCTCCCTCTCAAGGTCAAATATTAATTAAGCTATATAAAACGATGTTTCTTTGCTAAAATCGACCGATTAGCTATTCCCGTTTGGAAATTATATATCACAACTACACATTCTGAGATTTTCATGGTTGCAGCTATAATATTGTACGACCGTATAGGCGCTATTTGAAATTTATCAAAATTTACTGGGAGCACCGGTAAATTTTTATATTCAATTTTTCTCGAAAGCAGAAGTGTTTTAGGGGCTGAATTTTTTAGTGCTTATAATTCATCCACATGGGCATCTAAATATATAAAAACTGTAAAGAATCACTATCCACCCAATTTTCAAAATTTCCCAAAACGTTGTATTACCTTAAATAAATACCCCTTTTTAACTCAAATAAGCGCATCTTATATTTTCACAACATTGTGCCCCCCTTCCTTTCTAATAAGTGCCCCTTTTCCTTATGATAAGTGGCCCTTTCCACCTCTTTTAAATGACTCTATTCAATTATGAGAGATAGTCGTTTTACTTTGCCAAGTGCCTCTTCCCCTCCTGATAAGTGCTCTTTGCATCTTTAATAAATGCCCCTTTTATGTAGGCACGTCCCTCTCTTCCTCCCTAATGAATGTTCTTTTTCCTTCTTATAAGTGCCTTTTCCCCTTCTCATAATTACCCCCTTTTCATCTCTGATAAGTACCCCGTTTATTTTAACATGTGCCTCTTTTTCTTTCTAGTAAGAGCCACTTCCCCCCTTCTCATAAATGCCCCCTTTCACCTCCGATAAATGCCCCTATTAAAATCTGATCGGTGCCCCTTTTCTTCAACAACTTTTGCACATTTCCCTTTTTTATAAGTGACATTCTTCCTTTTCCTTCTCATAATTACCTCTTTTGATATATGGTCAGTGCCCATTTTCACCTCTATTAATTACCCTTTTAACAATGACACGTACCCCTTTTCCTTTCTAATAAGGAACCTATCCCTTTTTTCATAAATGCCCCTTTTCACTTCTTATAAATGCCCCTATCAAATCTGATGGGTGCCTCTTTTCCGTCTTCAAATGCCCATTTCCCGTTCTCATAAGTCCCCTTTTCATCCCTAGTGAGTGCCTTCTATTTTAGGTGTAAGAGTGCCCCATTTCCACCTCTGATAATTAGCCTTTGTACTTTGACACGTCCTTCTTTTCTTTTCTTATAAGTTTCTTATCCCTTTCGATAAGTGTCCCTTTTTCCTCTCATCAGTAAACGTGCCCCTAATTTAAAGCGATTAAGAGCAATTTCCCCCAAAGCTCACTCGCTACAAAAATTGAAGTTAAAAAAATAAAAAATCCGCCCGCCCGCCCCTACTCCAGAAAAGCAATCGAGGACAACCAAATGATTTTTTTTTGGGCCTATAACCACAATTCTTGTCCATAAGCTGCAATAATTTTTTCAAACCTCTTTCATTATGAAGTGATTGTGACAGTATGATTTATTCTTGCTTAATGTTATCATTTTCATATCTTCTCAGAACTTAATAGGTCAATCTCTATGATTATTTACATAATATACAATTATGGGAAGATATAAAAACAAACCTTTCTATTGTAACAGCCTGCTTAAAAAGTAATATCTTTCATGACAGTGCAATGACGATATAGGGAAAGAAAATCGATAATTCCTAATTTATAAAAAATGATACATGAAGAAACAGTAAACGTTTACATTTCTGGTTTGAATTAAAAATACAGGCCTATACTAATGTTAATTCATAAAGCAATATGACTTACATGTAGCATAAGGTTCGAACGGCTTCGTAGGTTTCTTTATGATTTGACTTATTCTTACCCTTTCAAATAATCAAATAGAACATCTTTGAGTTTTATTAAGGCAAAATTGGAAAAAGCTGATGACCTATCAGTGTTTTTGTTGTCAGAACAGAGATATTATGGCATGCCTCTCTGGTCACTAGACTCGTCTCTGTTCATCATTATCATCATTATCATCATCATCAAAACCAGTACCATCATTATCATCACCAATACTTTGCACCACAACCATCATTAAAGGAGGCTAGCAGCCAGTTTGTAAGTCCTATTTCTTTTGAATTTGTCTTCCTTTTTATTATGTTCTTATTAATTCTTTTGTCTCTGATTTTCTTTCTACCTTTCTCCTATTCATTTATGACTTGTATTCATATTTTATCTACTGGTAAGTAAGTTACTGTCAGGTATAGGATCACACCCCGAGGCGCCAGGTTGGGTTGACGGCGACTGTCCCTTGGGTCTTTGGTTCACCACAGGACGTGCGAGCTGGTATTGGTAGTGTCTGTATAATATGTGATGTCTATTTTATACGAAATGCGAAATCAGATTATCTAAACCTGTTAAAATAATCACTGTGAAATTCAAAAACTTTATGATGTTTACAATCTGTACACAGAATATACTCGTAGTATGACGTCATTTTGGGAACGACCTTAGCCTCACACGTGATTGGAGCAGAGTATTATGGGATGCTACATACATTATCTCACCTATTCGCCATTTTGAACTTCGCGATCGTTGCAACTTTTGGCGCTTTACCGGTGCACTAAAATAGTGTCAACACCCATTCAACCTCAATTGATGAAGTCTGAGAGAGCATATTAACCCTGGATAAACTTCAATAATGAAATAATTTTTCTGAGTTAGTATCATATTTGAAATCATATGATAAGGTGTGCATTGTTGCTTCGAAGTGATCACTTCCGAACTGGAAAACTGAATTACCGAGTGTTGTTGCATGCATGCTGTAACGTTCGTAGATGTCCGTAAACGCGAGGATTCAATGGGGGAACCGTAAAAAGACGACGCAACACGCACTCCCTCACGTAAACATTGAGAAATCTTAACTTAGACCCTTCATTGATTCACGTTTTTCTTGTTTATTGTAAGTATAAAGAGGCGGAATAAATTATCTTCATGTTATCGATGTTCTCATGTAGGAGTTGAATGCTTTCAAATGATTCCCAGTCTTGTGGGATATGAAATAAACTGTTGGGTCTGTTCTAAAAACATTTTGGCTACCGTTTGTGTTGTGGGTGTCATGTGCTGAGCGGGCGTGTTTGGTCACCGGTGCATGTCGTTCCACGGAGGCGGACCGGCCGAGTAAATATCGGCTGTCGTGTTGCACTGCCTTGACCAAGTTAAAAACGGGTCACTTTACTAGTCGTTACATGCTCTGGGCCGAGTTAGGAGTGTAGGGTTAAATGGGTTTGGGTCTTTTGCAGGCATGTAGCATATTCTTGATGTGGGGAGGAGTGGTTGAGTGCTACGAATTACGATGTAACAGTAGGCCTACGAAGCGCTTGCGCAAATGATTGTGTGTTTGACTTTGACAAGAATTGAGATGACTTGGACAGTGGGAGGGAGGCACGATGAACTTTGCGCATTGAGCGCTGTACAGTGAGTTTACACGCTCTTATTCATTGGTCGATCCACCCGAGTGGCTTTGAATTTAAGTGAGAGCGGGCCTATTTAAGCGCAATTTAAGTTCAATGGCAATGTCAATACGTAATATTACTAGGGTGTCTGATCGCGCACCCAATGTTGTGTGCTAAAACCCTTCCCATAGAGATTGTACGCTTCCCTATGTGGTCTACGTGCATTGCGCGACCATCCAAAATTGGTCAATGATTTTATGAAAAAATTTGAAATTCAAACCTTTATAACAAATGATCCTGAAGGTGAAACTCAATAAATGAGGTGTCATATGAAAGAGCAGGTTTTTCTCCATATTCCCCATAGGGGGCCACCCCCAGAATTCTAAAAATATCTTGGTCAAAACAGCGATTGAAATGTTGTTTGCATCCTAGCTCCAAAATTTGCCACTTTCCTGAGCTGCGCCCCCGCGGCTTAAGCAGGGCTAGACGTAAGGATAATATCCAGATGCTTTTTTTTTCGCTAGCCCCAAGGGATCATTTGTTATAACAGTTTGAAAATACCCTTCCCACATTTTTGGAATCAGCTAATTAGGGAGGCGTGAGCTCCGCTCAGTCCAAACCATGGTTACATCGCGTAACATGTGCGCTTATAGTGAATGAAAGTATGGATGGCCGTTCCCACCATAAACCCCGGAAGTGAATACACGTTATAGTCAATGGCAATATCGCGGAGACATCTCCGCGATATTGCCATTGACTATAACGTGCATTCACTTCCGGGTTTTTTGTGCGACGAACGCTAACCATACTAGTCAATGGCACGTGTCGCGGAGACAGCGTAGCTCAAGCTTGCAAGTCGCGCATTGGCTGAGCAACTTGCGTACGATATGCATACGCTTGCATATCGCGCGATACAGCTGTTTGGCTAAATTTAGCAAAACAACATAACTCTGCGTGTACGTCTTTTTCGTCGATTCTGAGCAAAATGCTATGAATATTTCAGCGTTTTGAAGGGGCTGTATCTTTTGATAGAAACATCGGCGAGACTTGAAATTTGAAATGTATTATTCTGATTACATTTTAAATTCAAATATCAAACAAAAATGGTGAAAAACGATCCCAAATTGAAAATTGAAAAATCGTTCAGACACCCTAATATTACGTCACACAGAGATTTTGACATGTCATGCTTTAAACAGGTGACGCACTTCATACATAACTGACGCAAACAAGCATTGCACACATTAAATAGAAAAATTAATGAACATCTCAGAAGAAATTTCCAGTTTTTATCTGAAATATGACGAAAATGAGAATTGTTCAAACTTAAAAAATATTTACGTAAGACTTGGATTTAAGTGAAATACTTGAGTGAAAAAATCATAACAAATAAGACTTTGACTGAAATATAAGTTTGGTATGGAAAAATCGCAAGCTTGCTCCTCGCACAAATATCTTGTAGCATTGAGTGAATGGAAGACAGCGGAAGCCAATAAGAAGGGCCCTTGTCGGCCCAATTTAGTAAAATGAGGTTGCGATTGGCTGAGTTCGGATGAACGTTTTGCGCTTGCGCTAAATGTAAGCTAACGTTCTTCATGGGAGATGGAGCAATGTTTGCCCTACATGTAGTACTAGTAAGTAATATATCCAGAGGTGTGTCCGGACAATTGATTTAATCATTTATAATGACAATTTAAAGAAGTTTACAGGCAATATTTCATAAATCTTCTAAGTTATGTTGGACAATATTATTATTCCTGATGCTATTTGATAAATATTTTCTGTTAAATCTGAAGGCAAAAGAGAAGTTTTAGATTTAGTTTGGTAAGTTTCCGGACACCCAACCCACACATAGAACTTTATGCATTGAGCGCTGTACGGTGAGATAAAATCAAATAACGCGCTCTCGTTGGCCGATCGAGCAGTTTAGAATTTAAGCGAGAGAGGGCTCACTTTATAAGTAGAGAGCACTATGACAAAGCCAATTAGACCTCTATGTAATATGATACACTGACAGTGACATGTCGTGCTTTAATTAAACAGGTGACGCACTTCACATATAAGTGACACACTCTTAGCATAGGTACACACATTAAATAGAAAAATCAACAATTGTTTCAGTACAACTTGCCAGTTTGTACCTTAAAGATAAACTTGAGTTCTGGTTAAAAAAAGAAAATCAATTCTCACAGAATCTAACAAAACTTACACTGAATGTTCAAGATTACAAATAAATGTCATGTGCCAAACAATTTTGGAAGAAAATGTATACTGGCCGAGTACTGAGCATAGAAAGATAAGGAAATCAAGTAGGACTAGCCCCGACACCATTTGTGTTGTCCCATATACATTTTTCTGTGTAGTGTGCTCGTTACTTTAAGACTGAGCCAAATTTGTTATGAATTTGATGACTCCAGAACCTTGCAGTACACACCAATACTTACATGCTACATAATCAACTTTTTCTGATGCATTCCATACCTTTTCTTTCACAAGGCAATGCGTTACCAGAACTCACCTATTATCTTTAAATATGACGAAAATGAGAATTTTTCAAACTTAAGTAAGACTTGAGAAAAACCTTAAACTTCTAAAGGTACTACGTATGTCCAATTTGTAGGTAAAAAACGAAGAAAAGGTTAAATTCCATGGTGAATACATAATCAGTTGGGCCTATGTGCTAAGGAGCGCATGAAAATCACAGCAGAACATCCTTACGGGAAGCTGATATACCTATAATAGATTATTGTGTGCTTGATCACATCTTCAGCAAGTTTTTTTTCTTTTATCGCTCTGGACCAAAACCACTGCTTTTCACTTTAGTGGCAGTCCAATGTTATTTCCATTAGTCAAGCATAGCCAAGCAAACATTAAAGTCAAGTAGCCAAAATCTGTGAAATGCGATGACCGACTTACATGTACATGTACATGTATAAATATAGGAAACGGTTCACACTCACAGCCTTCAGAAAGATGAAATGTTTAGTTCTTGTTCAATAAATGAAAAAAATATACATTAATGGTATCAACATTTCAGTCTATACATCATTTATATGTTGACAAATAGTAGGTTACATGTGATGTGTGTGTATCCTTTTCACTACTTTCATAACTGCTTTAAAAAATAAAAAAAATGAGAAAATTACTTTATGCGCCACATCATTCTAAAAGCCTTGATACCTAAATGGCTACCAGTACTGAACGTGTGCCAGCTGATTAAAGGAGGGAGTGGATGGTTTTCATGCATTTCTTTTAAAGTCCAAATTCATGAAAAAATTTTGGTTTAATTTCAAATTTCTGATTCCTTATTATACCCATGCAGATTCATATTGAAGTACAAGTAGAACAATGCTGTGTCCATCGCCCCTATCAAAAGTTTTGCCTTTCCATTCATTACCTACATGTAAGATCCATGCAGTGATTAGAATTACTCTCTACAGCTCCATCTAGTGGCAAGACTGTGTAAGGAACAGGTATAGTCTCATTCAAGGATTACCTCCTTGAATGAATGACTTGGTGTTTTCTTGAGCCAAAACTTAAAAATGTTCACTACCACTCATATTTCATACACACAGTCGTACCCTTTTTTTAGGGTGTTTTATATTTGTGGCTTATTTGAAAACTAGAAGTTTTTACAATTAATTACATTCTGTCGGACATTAATCAATATTTGCCACACTTGACCCAGGTGAGGTATATGGGTACCTGGTTAGATTATTCCCAGAAATTCACTCGGCGTTGATTAGATTGCTGGGGCGAATACCAGGGTCATTTCAAAAGCTCTTTTGAAGTGCATTTGGATGTCACTGTTACAAATGTGCCGTCCAAGAAGGGATTATCATCATCTGTGATTCTATAGCAGATATTCTGACCTTTTCCCTTGAATTTGGATTTGGGTGCGGTGGTCTGAAAATGTTAGACTACTGAAAGAATGATGTCAAGGGAAGTCGCAAATTGGGCCTTCCCCTTCTGGAATTAAGAGTTGCACTTGCTTCGCAATCTTGGGGAATTTACGGTAGAGGAGCCCTGCCAATATAATGGCGGGCTTAATGCAAGGGGGAACAGGTAGATGTAGAAAGTATGAATTACCTATGAACATGTCCATGTACCATTTAGTCGGCTGTATACATGTGCAGTGTAGTCTGTAGAACATCACATACAGTTGAAAGTGATGTGGTAAGGTTTTATAATGATGAAGGTCAATTTATATAGCGCAGCTACTATATGAATACACTCTACTGCGCTTAATACAAGGTTTATTATTGCTGTAGCTGAGCTGCCACAATAAGGCGCTAAAGCATTCAAGGAGTGTGTTCTGACTGGGTAGTGGGTTACTTGACCTGGGTGGAGAGTGGCAAATGTAGATTAATGTCTTGCTAAAGGACAATAGTGTCACGGCGGGACAAGAATCGCAAACCGTGTGATCAACAGTCCGGTGACGTATCCACTATACTACGACACCTCCGAGTAACATGAATGTGAGGTTTAAAGAATGCCTGTTTGAATTATTCCCCTTTTTTTCTCTTTGAGTCATAAATTTTTGGTCCGGAAATGGAGAGGGGGGAAAGGTGGAGAGAATTGTGATCGTTATGTGTAATGTGCAATGTAGTTCAGTGAATTCATGTTTTTCGTGTTCTCAAATGTTGCAAGTTAATTCTCATATAATGTATCACCATATACTACTACATTCAAATTTCAATGTTTACTTTTCTTCTGTGCCCCTATCCTGCTCTTAAAGATGTTCATGCGTGGGTATATACATGTAGTCATTTGTGAAGTAGGCAACCTGGCGATCACTCCCGATCACTACATAATACTGAGCAAATTAGTATTAATGTTCCTGTGCATATACCGTGTGCTGCCCTCTATATACCCACGCTTGAGCAACTTTAAGCATGTAGTAGATCATTTGGACTCTCCCAAGTATGCAAGCAATATGTGGTGTTCACAATGGCTCTTTTACTATCCTATCCCTAGCACTAGCACATTCATATATCTTATGGTTGGATTTCCTATAGAGTACTGAAGCTGTGACATCATAAAAAATCTACTTTTAGAATTTCTCAACTTTTTCTTCATTTTCCAAAAAAGCATCAAAATAATGTCCAAATGTTGAAAACCAATTGAAAAAGATTTCCTATAGGAGCTCAGTGTTATTTTGCTCTGGCTCGTAATGTTATGTTCCAAAGCAAAATAACACAGCTATTTATTCAGATGGTAATATCTCAGGCAATACTTACATATTCAATTGGTTTTCGACATTTGGACATTATTTTTGATGCTCTTTCGGAAAATGAAGAAAAAAATTGAGAAATTCTAAAATTAGATTTTTGATGATGTCACACTTCACCACTCTATTCTCTTTAGCAGTTTGTCTTTAAAAGCCTTGCTAACTGTCATTTCATTAGTGTGCCGTTTCTTTCTCCTTTTCCCGTCATTTTTCTTCTCCATTTCCCAACTCCTGCCTGCCTGCACGCTTACCTATCTGTGGCTTCCTTCATCATCCATTACACGTCCTTAGGATCTATCCTGTCTGTGTAGCTCGATCTATTTTGGGGGCTCAGTAACTCTGTCAGCCCGGGGGCAGTGAGCGGAAAATAATCGCAGCGAAGCATTTGCAATGATGTGAGTATAGTAATAGTATCATTGTCTTGTCTTGGTACCAACATATGAATGAAATCCATTTGTATCTTGCTTGATATGCTAACTCTTTGTTTTTTGTGATCGATAAGACTTTCCCCCGTCATGTGCAGTTTATTTGGGCCTTTTTCGATAGTCAACCTGAAATCTTTGCGACTTATTATTTGGAAAAGCATATCTTTGTTCAGTTCATTTGCATATTCTTTGGCCATAAGGGCACTTTTCTTTTGAAAGATTAGTTTTGTTTCAGGGATGCCAGTTTCAGGCCTTTTCCAGATTTTGCCGTTTCAGGTCTTTTCAAGATTTGTATTGTTTGTACAGAACATGAGTCTGTAGCTTTCTTTTCAGGCATTGTACCGTAAAACCAACCGGTACATGTACCCCTGTTATTCCAAGGGCTCTGTCATTTTCTTTTTATGTAGGTAGCATTTTGATTTTGTATTTGGACCTGGCTCTTGGACTTCAAACTTTTCTGTTTCATTCTTTTTCATTTTTATCTGTTTGTTACTATCATCATTTGTTAAAATTTGACAGTTGGATAAGTGGACCCTGGGATGTATACCCTGTGTAATATTTTGGAGAAAGGCAGTGTATTATCATATCTTTTTTGTTTTCCCTCCTCCCTCATGTCTCTAGTTACTCCACCACCAATTAAATCAAAAGTGCCAGACTGAGAACTTCTAAGGCTCCCTCTGTCTCCAAGTTGCTATTATTATTTTTTGTTGTTGAATTGGTTTGGTTAGTTCACTTGGTTGCTATTTTTATATCCACATTTTTTTTTTTTTGGGGGGGGGGGATCCCTTTCAAGATGGATAATCAGGACTTGAGATTAATCGGGCCTCAAATTTCTTTTTCCTAAAAATTCTCAATATTCTGATTTTCAAAAATTCTGAAATATTTATTTTTTATTTTTGTAAAGCAAAATTTATCTTGTTTTATCATCTGTCGCGATTTGAGAATTTGCATATTGCGTACTTTAAATGGCTGCACAATCAAACAGTGGATTTGTATTCCCTTTTTTGTACAGCTTTACTGCGTATTGCCAGTACACTGCCGCTGCGTACATGTACATGACCATGGTTAGGGTGCAGATTTCTTATTTTCAAATGTTGGCAGGTATGCTTCTGTCTGGTTTGGAATTATTATGGCAGGATTTGGATTGTCTAATTGCATACTACGCGTCCCTTCGCGCTGATGTTTTCTGACAAACCTCAGCGATGGTCAATGCTATGGATACTTTTTCTGTTGTTCATGTATTTTACAGGGTGTCTACAGGGCCTTGTCAAGCCAACGTTATCTGCCTAGCTCAACTGCATTTCTATGTGTTCATACAAGGGAATAACATCCTTATGGAGTGGATAGTCGTGTCTGACAGGATATTTTGAAATATTTTCTTCATCTTTTTTTTTCTTAATCATTGTTTAAGTCCCCCCTCCCCTTTTTGTAAGTGGGTATCCAGCAGGTCTTATTGATCACATACATGTAAATGCATATATGCATGATCAGTTGCTCCACCATTTGCATGAGTGAATGATTGTGCACTATACCATAAGCATGGAAAAGAAAGTTTTGATAATTGCCTGGCTTGATCACTGGGTCAAGGGTCAAAGGTCATAGTCTCAGTATTGGCCTCTTTATTTTATGAGAGAAAATTTCATTTTGTCAGGTTTCTTCAGTTGTACAATGATTTTAAACAAATCGATTAGCCTGGAAATTTGCGTATCTTGAAATATCAAAATTAGCGATTCTAACATGCTATTATCCATCCAAAATGTATTTATAGCGGTATCAATATTACAGCCTTATATTATACCAGTATAGCAAATTAGTTTGTATCACTGTATAATCAAAAGTTCGGAAAAACATAGATTTTTGAATTGCAGATTTTCCCCCAATGCTGTAGAGTGATCCAATTTCCTCTTCATTTTTTCTCTCTCCCTCCACATTGATGATAATTTTACAGGAATTCATTATCTTGTCATCTGTTTCAGTACATGACAGTGATTTATGAAAGTAAAACCCTTATTACCATACGACAGTTGGCATAGAATATTTCCTGTGTACATACATGAATTTTTTATGTATCGCACGTTTTGCCGACTCATTTTCACAGGTTACTTGATTTTCCTGGGGGGGGGGGGGGTGATGACCTCCCTCTTGATGTGAATATTGTTTAATAAGTGCGCAGTGAACTGGGAAATATGCCAGTGTAGGACTAGGATACAAAGTACATGAACTCCTCTGTTTATAGTGCATTATTCAAGCATTGTCCTATTTTTTATGGGTAAACCTTTTGTGTTGAGCTGTTTGTTTTAGACCAAATTTGAGAGACGTCCCTGTGTGGTTTCCTCAAAAGGTAACCAGGGAGAGAGATATTGCATATTTCTTGTTGCATTGGAGTTTGGACTCCAAACATGATTCACGTGTATGTTAACGTGGGCCCAGCCAGAGTCAATGCGATGGTTGCACAGATTAAGCAACGGAAATAGGCCTTTAGTATGGCGGAAACTATGAGCCAGCAACTCTGTCAGATGCATGAGCGACGTGCACCTCCAACGCTCTCTCTCTCTCCAGTCTTTGATTTGTGGCTGTGCCTCTCGAGCCAAAAATAGAAACTGGTTCTCACTGTACACGAATATGTAGCTATTCTTTTGGTCTAAAAAAACGGCCATGCAGTGCTACACCAAAAGTCCAAAATGCAGATGATTAAATACTCAAAGCCTTGGAGTATTGGTGGAGGTGATTTTAAAGCTGGCAGTATACAGGAAATATATCTTTTGATAATGATTGTTTCTAAAAGATCAATTTGCAAAAGATTTTTTATGTTAACAAAATTCCATAGGAACTCTGAATTGAGTACAAACAAAGTGTTCTGTAAAGATCACCTACATTTGTACAGTGTATGATATTTTAAATGCGATGAATGTGAAATGGAAAGCTGGTTACAAAAAAAATAGCATCATGTGATCATTCACATTGCATTGTAGGGAAATCTTTTGGGCAAAATAGAATTTGGTAGGCCAAAACATGCCTAATACAAAGAGTAAAACTCATTCACTTGTAAATACCAGACAATTTGGATGCAAACAGCATTGAAGAGGTTTAACATTTTTGCATGTAACTACATGTATACTGACAGTAGAGTTTTACTGACGAGTGTAAACAAACCATTGTACAGTCAGTGGGTCACATGTGGGTCAACTACCATAACCTTTGTGATGATGATGATGATGATGATACTTGTAACCTATATTAGCAATGTATACATCAATGCAGCCGAGTTGCTCTTTGGACATGTACCCGTATTGTCAACGAAGGTCCTCTGAATGTCATGTCAACACGACCGATGGGATGGCATGCTAGCCCTGTAGAAAACAACGGGAAGGATTACGTTCTGAAGGATTACGTTCTGAAGTCTGAACTGCCCATAGTGAATAGACACGATGCATCAGTGCATGTTTTTTTGCTTCCCTTTCTCTTCCTCTTTCCTGGTTGTAAATGACTGTTGTCTGACATTCCATTTCTCAGTTCAAAGTACAAAATTATAGGTATTGTACATGTACATTACTTGTAAATGACTCTTGATATAAACGGGAAGTGAAAAGAAATTCATGATTGGGTGACATAAGCCAAATTTACAAAATGTAAGTCTCGTTAAAATGCCTGTGCAATTTTACAGACCTCTAATTTCATTCCACATTTTTGTTTGATCCATTAACATAGTTTTGCAGTTATACATTACGTTGTAGACTTGTGTATTTTCACATTTATTGTGTTTGTGTAAAAAGCACACAAGTTTTAGAGTTTCAGAAACGGTATACCGGTAGTTGTTTAATACCTTGGACCCTATAGAGATAGTCCATCGGCAGCAGTTACTGTGGGAAGAATGTCAATGTAGTGCTGGTTGATGGTACTTTTGTTGCAGGGGGGGGGGGGGCTATTTGTGTTGTTTCAAAATTAATTTCTACCCATGTTGCATGGAGGTGAAAGAAATACAAATCACTATACAGTCCCTGTCTATAGCGACCGCCCAAGGGAAACCCTCAAACTGTTCTTTGTAGGCAGGTTCCTTTAGTACATGTTTAAATGAGAAACCATTTTCAAGGGAAACAAAAAACGTGGTCTTTGTAGACAGGTGGTCACTAACGCAGGTTTGACTGTTCATACGATTATACTGTTATTTCAGTCAATTTGTTATTTTGTCAATGTGACAACTGACATTCAGTGTATCTTACAATGCCTTTAATTTCCCTAGGGTAAAGACAGTACCTGTAAGCACCTTGTGGGGATTTGAATCTGTGTCCTCCTCCTTGAGTGGAACATACCTTTCAAGGTGACAGGTAGTGGCAATGATGATGTCATCCATCCTTCACGGAAATAGGCCAGGTTAACTCTCTAAATATAAGTGATGAGCCTCACGAGCGAGCGCGGAGAACAAAATTTGATTGCATCACTGATGAATCTCAACACCGCACATTGCCTATGTCTCATTACACGAACTTGATGCGATGTTTTGCCTGTCGTGTTGCCCTGGCGATTTGACACATGTCTCGCTCTTGAGACCAGCCGTTGCTAACGGCACAGGATTCGACAGGAAGGTGTTGGTTGGATGATGAGGAAGTGAAGTAGAAATTGTGAAATAGGTCTAATGCGTCCCTGTAATTAGATCCTAGATGGACATTTCAGTGCTTCCCAGTTGTATCTACATGTATGGCGACTACATTGTAGTTGTCCTTTTCCAGGGTGTCAGGGCCTAGACCCCGTTTCATAAAAGTTTTATCAATAACAAGTAACAATAACTGTTATAAGCTACTGAAATCGTGGCATTTGATTGGCTGAAAGCAAATTTGTCATAGAAATTTAGCATTTGCCATTGATAAAGAGTTTTATGAAACAGGGGCCAGGCCCCCTTATGGGATTTCAGGCATCATATTGTACAGCACACATTACAGTACACATGAGACTAGAAGTAAAAAGAGTCTATTTTTAAGGCTCCCGGAGTGAAATCAACTTTAGGTCGAGCTCTATGTCTCACGTGTAGGAGTCCTCGACACCCATGTGAAATGACCCTTGAGGGACATGTAAAGAAAAAGGTGTAATATGCGTCACATTTCTGTATCTCATAACGCAGAGCTGAGTGACTGAATACGCACAATTGCTATTTATTTACGCCTTAACCCCCCCCAAAGAAACGTGACAGTGTTTTGTTTTTTCTGCGGGGGTTCACTACTGCATATCTGAATGAGCCTTTGAGGCATTCAAAGAGATGGTCTGTTCAGTCTACAGGGGTATGTAATTCCAGATTAAATATATATTTTTCAAAAAGATACCAGTAAATATTTATTTTGTTTGTACATATACACATAATCTACAAGTTAGGTACTTATACTACCTACAAGTGGGTACATTATGCAAGACTGAGAATTACATATATATCCAGCAAATGTCTGAAAAATAACTATGGACATTAATTTACTATACAACCAGCACAATTTACAAATTGTTTATAAAAGTATGCTAAAAAAAGGTATCGAAGTAAAGACTAGCCTTCAAATTTAACTGCATGACTAATACATGTAGGTAGACTCGGCGAGTGAGCTCGATATGTTTTACACACAGTCATTGTGGTAGTCATACCCATCTATTGAGGTCGCAAGGTTTCGATAATTCCTTGGTAATTCACTCCATCTGCTTATTATTGTGAACCGTTTGCGTGGAACTGTCCGATAAGACAGCTATTTTTCTTGAAAGAGGAAAAGGGAAGAACCTTGGAAACATGACAGCAAAAAGTGAAAAGGAATCGTCTAGCTCAGTTATTTGGACCAGATTTGTAAGCTACGCTTGAACAACTACCTGTAACCTCGTACATTCACGTACTGTAGTGATGAAGTGCTCGGTTAGTCAATAGTGTAACGTCTCGAGTCCACGATGCTAGCCTAGCCGGATATTTACACATTGGTATATACACGTATTGTACAGGATATACTCAGCTGGGCAGGAAACACACTTGAATTGTGTGTGGATTTTTGAGTGAAGTGACAGACTGATTTATAGACGGTGGATTTTTTTAGAGGAATATATTCATGTATAGGTCACTAAGGATGTGAGTATTGGATTGTGGTGGTGATGTACCATTTTTTCTCTCTTGTGAGATTGTAAGGTGTGTAATGAGAAGTGCATGCAGAGGAGTGACTGTCGGGCCTCGTTTACATCTAACATGAATGATGACTTAAATTGTAATGCGTTTCACTTTTCTGTATATCGTTAACCCAGGGCTCAGTGAATACGTGCAGGACCTTTATTGCGCGCAGTTGCCATTCATGTACACGTGAAACCTGCCGCTTTTATGTTTGTTTTGTTTGTTTCTTATTTGTCTTAATGTACATGAACATTTACACGTACATGTACTGTGTTGTGTAACTTGTTCAAAGCTGTATGGCATCATTCCTAGATGAGTGTGCAAGGACCGTAAGGGGCACCGTGTGCAGATACTTGCCCCCTCCCCCCTCTCCCCTCTCCCCTCCCCCGAACCCCACCACCCATAACATTGCTTCTTTCTATACACATAGTGGGTTCCTACCCTGGGATTTTACCGCATTCTGTACGAACAGGGGGTTACCGTGAAGGTTTTTATTTTCATTTTTGTCCAGGTTCCGGGATTTTACTAGTACAACTCCTCTGCCTACAGTGTACATTTTTACAGTGCATTCAGCTCAATTTCTGAATCATCGATCATTGCATGCATCTCATATCTTGGCCATATCTTGTCATTTTACTTGCACTGTTTAAAGATGTGGTTTCTTATGTGTATGAAAGTACACATACATTCGATTCGTCCAATATTGTCATAGCTCTGTACATACTGTACATGTCCAGTACATGTACAAACCAATGCAAGTATTGAACTTGTTATTTATCGTAAATAAAGCCTGACCTTGGTTCTTGATGCAGCAATTTCAAGCATGTTTTATTTAAGGGATCCTGTGCATTTGAACAGAAATAGAGCGGCATGTAAATGTCCATGCCGTGAACCACCATCATTACCCACTTTCTACAGTAATGGATTTACATCCAATATCAGGAAGGGGAATTCCCATAATGTACTAGACATTTCATAATTGCCTATCGTACATGTATTTTTCTATGTGGAACTTCCTTCTGATATTCTGCTCCAATTATTGCTCACAAGTGCTTGTGGTTTAAACAAAAAAAAATTGATGCCAGCTTTGATTGGTTTCACATGTGCTATGTGGTTAGGGACTTGTCTTCAATGTCACTAGCCATCATCATTACAGAACACGCAACTTCCATAATGTCTGCAAATGATTGGAAAATTTAAACGTTCATTCTCTTATTTTTTCTCTAACAGGCATGCTGCCTCGGATACCTTCGCCATGTTTTGGAGGTTTGGAATGCCGACGACGTCACATATTGACACGTTGCTAGAAAAAGAGGTAAGATATATACATATCAGTTTGTAAAGGAGGGAGTCAACGGTCTTAATTGTGAAATTTCATCCTGGTGGAAACTTGTAAACCCCTTGCAAATTAAGTCTGGACCCCCCCCCCCCCCCCCCCAAAAAAAAAAAAAAAAAAAAAAAAATTGACATAGGGCTCATGCATACTGACTGTAAAATGCTTGATGCGCATCTCCTTCAAAAAACATTATTGTTGAGCCCTGCATTTTGGGATAAAAATTGTACATCAATACAATCCTTCCGACATTTTTTCTGGAAGGGTGCACATGATGAAGAAAATTCTATTGTGTGCAAAGTCGTCATCGTAGTTCACAGTTGCAGCATAATATCTATACTAGTATTGCCTGGTGGAGTAGTGGTATGTGGGTTGTCATGCCAGCATGCTTCGTAAGTTATTGTGTGACAAATGTTTAGAATCCTACTTGGTTGAAAAAGGCTTCCAGAAACAACAGTAACCTGGATACAGTATGGATTATAAGCCAGGTTCTCATAACAACTTGAAATGGATATATTGATCCATCGTAAAAACTGCACATTGACATGCTGTCCTTGTGATCTTCCTCTTAGATATGTCAGAAATGGTCCTTGTTTGAGAAACCTATTAAAAAAAAATTAGTTTCACTAATTTGTGAGTGTTTTGAGTGTTTCCATGGAAACCACAAGTTTTCTAGTGCATTTCATTCACATATGGAAACTGCAACCTTTGGGAAACCTCTGGAAACAGGCCCTTGGACCATCTTTTGTTTTGTTATGGAAGTCAGAGGCTAAGTAGTCTGTCTGTGCAATACTTCCTGCAATGCTTGTATGGGGAAACCCTAGAAACTCTATGTAAACCACTTTTTAAGATTATTTTCATACAGCCACCTAACTTTTAAGAGGGGGTCAGGGAATTGAAATTGGTAGGATCTGTATTCATTAGCCCCTTATCAAAACATTTTTTTTTTTGGGGGGGGGGGGTGGTGGTCCTGGACTTAGATTTACTGAAAACGCGGAAGTATTCGCAGTAAATTATTTTTTCATGGATTCAGCGCTAAGATCGGCAAGCAAAAATTTTAGAACTCGCAAAAAATATAAGCATGACAATTCTTATCAGTGTTTTGAAAGTACTAGTCGCTCAGCGCGAAAAATTAATCACTCGAAAATTACAGCGTTTACAGTAGACCCATGTGTCCCGAGTACGTGGTAGTGTTGGGCCTTCAATACAACCTGCCTGACAGTCGGAACGAGGCTGCATCTCGGTAGTTTCGGACTGAGCGGCATACTTTGTGCCAGGTCAAAATGAATCACTTCCTACCCTTTCCCCGCAAATTCACAGAACGTGACTCACGACGGGAGAATTACCTGACACCCTCTCTGAAATTTGTCTTTCTTTATTCATCAGGTTTAAAAATTGAAGTAATCGCCTGAATCGAATCCTGTTTAGAAATGAGCGGTCTGGAGCGAATCCAGACCTGTGTTGAATAATGAGGTTATTAGGCATATACATGTATGTAGGTGAATAAAGAAGAAGTTATATGAAGGGAAAAGAGAGTACTTTGGACTGGTAATATTAGATAAATGCTGCATTTTCATTGAGCTTTAGAAAGGGGTAATGCCCTCTCCCTCTCTCCATCTCACTAAATTTCATGCATGAGACAGCTTGAGTCCTGTATTCCTAGCTTCTTCTAAACACAGCACATGGTTTTATAGTCTGTCCTGTTCTCTCTCTCTCTTCAGAGTATTTCTCTCCAAGGTTATTTGATCCGTTGGGATCTCGTAGAGGGGATATCAGTCTAAGTGTAGTGATTTCCATGCCCGGCTCTGGCAGGGGAAGACATGCATACAGTCATATCCTGGCAGAAAGTGGCTCTGACTGAAACCGGGTTCAGCCCAGTTTCTGGTGGGTGCTAGTCTGTCCCCCAGACCCACCTATCCAGGGGTGCCCCAGGGATGCGTACTTCCTCCTGTGCTTATCGCACAATGTTGTGATCTTGTAGTGACACTTGACACCCTTTCCTTGCGCTTGCTATAAATTTGCTTTCTGTACAATACAATAATATACTGCGATGAACAGCCTTTGTATTAACCCCAGAATCTTGTGGGGGGGGGGGGGGCAAAATCTACCCCCTGGACATGAGCTGTAATTGCTCAAAGATGATTCCCCCCCCCTTTTTATGCAGCGAGCTTTCTTTGCTTTCTGGTCTGAGTCTTCAGTCTTGTATATCTTTGGAATTAGGAGCTGTCCTATCTGGATGTATGTGCCAGATGTCAGATTATTCTTTCATTCCACGATCAAGAAGCTTGTCTGAGAGGGCACCAAAACAATCTCGCCTGTTTGGGGTTAATCAACATAAGAATTGCTTTTTTCTTCAGTTCAAGAACTTTTGAGTGGATGCATCTCTCATTCTTAATCTTGTGAATGATTTTTATTACAATTTACGAAGAAATTTGCAATTTGTTTACCTGTAACCAGATTGTCAGCGCATATTTAAAGGGACATCAACTGATTCAGTTCATTCTTGTTATCCTTTGGATGGTGGCAACCATCCAAAACAACAAAGTACTTCAATAACACAGACTGGTGGAACTCGATGTAGGAATTCCTACCAAAATCTGTTTGATGAATGCCTTACAAAGACAACTAGAGATGTAAAAAAAAGAATGTTTTTCAAGTTAACACATGCAGATTGTTAAACGATGTTATTAACTCAAATGTTTCAATCTTCGTTTCCTCTTGTCTTTTCCTTCTAGGATATCACATTATCAGAAGTACTAGAAGAAGACGACGTATTACAAGAATGCAAAGGACAGAACAGGAAACTGATAGACTTGTAAGTACACTTCAAGGCTATGGTAAAAGATACAGACATAAGCATAGACCACTTTTGGTCTCAGAAGCTCAAGTAGTGCTGGAATCATTATTGAATCGGGGGCCGTTTCCTTCCGATTTTACAAAAATCGGACAATAGATTTTGATCGCCAATCAATTCGAAAGATCAAATGGCAATGGGAAGAAATAAAGAGCTTAAATTTGACAAAATGTGGGCAATCAAATACTTAAAAACATGCATACATGGGATTATTTGATATTCAGAGTTGTTGTGACAACTTAGAGAGGAAAAAAGAGGGATTTTCCCTTTTTTTTCAAAATCAGAGTAGAGCTCTAGCCTCTTGAAACACTTTTGCCTCAATAGCAATGAAAATGAAAATATGCTTATGGGTAAGCTAATGAAAATAAGGCACTACTTTTGAACAATGTGACACGACATGACAGCTGACAAATCATTAGTGAATGCTCACAATAAGCTCCGTCCCGTTATACCATTTTCGTACGATACTATTCCAGATTAGAGTGGGGCCCTCAAAATGATGCTCAAACAGGCATTTCGCTGAATGACATTCGGACTAGAAAAAAAGTACTTAAACTGTAAGATATAACTATACAAGACTCGTTTAGCTATTCGAAAAATGCTGGTAGTCTGAATGCAGGGTTAGTGTGTCCTTTGAAATGACTCAGAGCTATATAATGTTTTTTTAATGAGACTCGAGTCATGAGTTATTGCATAATTCTCAAGTTATTGCGTAATAATTCTCGAGTTATTCCTCGTGAATGCAATTGAGGTGCTTTCGTGGAATTACCTGTGGTTAGAGACTGTTGCGCAATGCTAATTATTATGTGTGTGGTTAATAACTGGTTATGCTGTTCTGAGCTTAGATTGTGTAACAAATGTTTGGGATGTAAAACAATGAATTCCATGACATATTTTATGTAGGATTAATAATATCCCTAATTAATGGGTTAATGATTTGTTTTGTAGAAATTAGGTCAGGAAACAGAACTTCAATTGTTCTGACTATTTCATGATATAAACAAGGAAGTTATGTCAATTGTGACAAGTGATGATGTTTCCTTCTTCAAGTGTGTGTATATACATTACAGTTTATGTATCATGTATCTACTAATTGAAATGATGTAGGTTTTATGGGTGGTATTCTCATAAGTTAAGCTGGGACTAAGTCCAGACAAAACAAGAATTTTAGTTCACATTTCTATGGAATGCTAGGTTTCATCTTCCTCCTTCAATATTCATATGTAACAAAGATAATCTACCAAAGACTTTGTTGAAATTCAGTTCACACTCATATTATCTTTTCTTCTCATTTCATTGCAAAATTAATTTTTGGACACTTTTCATTGAAGGATTAAAATAGTCCGTACAGGATAAATGAGTTTGCAACAGGCACTCCATAAAAGTGTGGACTAACTTTAATAGTGCGCGCTAACTTAGTACGCGCTACCGGAATACAGGATTTTAAAGGGACAGTTTGAGCACACTGGATACAAGGTTTAATGTTGTTGTTGTTTTTGTTGCCTGACCAGAATTTTATGATCTCTTTAAAGGCATCGTTTAACAATGTTAAATCGGAGATGCGCGGCTTTACGTGTTATCAGTGTCTGTGATATGGTGTAATATTGGAGCCCTAAAAAATTGCACTTTAAAATGATCATCAAGTGCCTCAAATAAGTAAAAATCTTTGAGTGATTGGTTTTACCATACTCATTTTACCCAATAGACTGAAGTGTTATAAAAACCGTTAGGAAAACGAAAATTTAAATAACGATTTCCAATCATAAATATCTTGATAATCGGACAGGTGATCGGCTTGTAAAAGTCATGCGATTCCTGACTGACCTGAAGGTTATAATTATGATTGCAGCATGAGCTAAATCCAGGATTTTGTTTCAGAATCTGAGGCAATGTTACCGACTCACTTTAAACTGAACCTACCGACCACTACATCACTTCCCATTGATCATGCCATCTCATTAATTCTCTGTTCTATTTAAACTGAACCTACCGACTACATCACTTCTAATCATGCCATCTCATTAATTCTCTGTTCTATTTGCAGCCTGGTGAGGACAGATGTGATAGAGGAGTTAGTGAACTTGATAACGAGCGAGCCGTCCCAAGACCTCCATGAGTCTGTACAGTACAAGAACCCCAACATGGCCTGCGAGCTCCTCACGTCCGACGTGGCCGCTATATGCGACAAGCTAGCAGACACAGAAGTGAGTCATCTTGCCAGGTTAACCCTCTCGATACCATCAGTGTGTCTTATAAATAGAGACCTCAAAAGAAACTTGCTAAAGGGATCGTTAAACAATGTTAAATCTGAGATGCACGGCCCTACGTGTTATTAGTGTCTGTGATATGGTGTTATATTGAAGCCCTTAAAAAATTGCGCTTCAAAATGGTCAAGAAGTGCCTCAAAAAAGATATAAAACTTTTGAGTGACCGGTTTTACCATACTCGTTTTCCCCAATAGACTGTAGTGTTATGAAAACCGTTTGGCAAACGCAAAATATGATTTTGATTTTCAACCATCAATATCTTGATAATCAGACAGGCGATCGGCTTGTAAAAGTCTTGGGGTTCCTGACTGACCTAAAGGTTTATAATTATCATTGCAGCATGAGCTTAATCAAGGATTTTCTTGAAGGATCAAAGACAAAGTTACCGGATCCCTTAAAAAACAAAACATGTATCGGTCTTAAGTTATAATGTAGTCCCCCATTGGTTCTTGAAATTTGTGCATGCATGTTACATTGGGAAGACAACGTTTTTTAGTGTGTCAAAACTGAATTGCTTTGTTTTCTTTTGAATGAAACTTGAAAGAACAGGAGAGAGTCAAGTTGAAGTCCTCCAAATAAAGTTTATGATAGTTCTCCTAGACTCCTACAATATATTCTGTTCTGCAGTTAACTTGACTGCTACAAACCTTTCTTGAGCATTGGTGCATAATTGTTAAGCCTGTTGTATTTGTATCCATGGTAATAAATTAAATATTTAGAGCCAAAATGGGGATTAAAGATAAACTCCAGTACTGGTAAAAAAAAAAAAATTAATTCTCACAGAATCAAACGAAACTTACACTGAATGTTCAAGATTACAAATAAATGACATGTGCCGAACAATTTTGGAAGAAAATGTATACTGGCTGAGTAATGAGCATAGAAAGACAAGGAAACCAAGGTAGTACCATCCCCGACACGATGTGTGTTGTCCCATATATAGCTTTCTATGTGAGTGTTTGTTACTTTACCAAGACTCGGTCAAATTTATTATGATTTTGATGACTCCAGAACCTTGCAGTGCACACCAATACTTACATGCTACATGATCAACTGTTTCTGATCCTTTCACACCTTTTCTTTCACAATGCAATCGCATTACCAGTACTAAAGTTTAGCTTTAAACAAACAAAATTACAACTGTTCTTGTTATTGCCAGTTAATACACTTATAGCTATGACGCTTTGTTTACATGCGCTGAGTTTTTGAACACTTTTCTGTTTGCTTTCTGTTTACTTATTGTAAAAACAAGTTTCTGTGACTTGTAAATATATGCATATGACAGCCATAAGATAACACGGCACTGTTGTATTGTCCTGTTATTCACCCAAAGGGCCAATACATTTAGACACATAACGTGTAATGTCTCTTTTACTCCCCAACAGACTGCTTTCACCAGTTTATGGAAGTTCCTCGACAGGCCGGCCCCTCTCAACCCCCTCCTAGCCAGTTTCTTCAGCAAGACGATAGGGTCGTTGCTATCGAGGAGACCCGAGGTCGTCGTCGAGTTCATCAAGGGCAGGGAGGACTGCATAGGCCTACTCCTCTCTCATTTAGAAGTCTCTGCTATCATGGACCTCATCCTTAGGCTAATCACATGCATCGAGTCCCCGGAAATTAGGATAGCATTCCTCAATGTAAGTTTTTGCGTCCTTGCAATTCATTCGTGTCTATCCCTTTCACTGCAAATTGCAGATGTAACGGTCAAACCCGCTTTAGCGATCGCCTGTATTGAAAGACCCTCCGATTGTAAAGACCACATTTTTTGATTCCCTTGAATCTGGCTTCTCATCGAAACCTGTACTAAAGGAACCTGTACATGAAGACCACCTGCCTATAAAGACAACTTTCATGTTTCTCTAGAGCGGTCTTTATATACAGGTTATACTGTATTACTTAGAGCTGTATCTGCTGAGAGCCAGAAGGATGTTACCTCTGACTGTGTCAGAGTTTTATGCCCTTCTAGCTCTCCGCAAACGGTGCTAGCTATGTATTATCAAGGAGTGTGTACTATATTAATCACATGATCGTTATCATTGTTGGTTAGGTCTGACCATCCCTGAAACCAACTGGTATCAATTTTTACAAGGATTCCCCCAATTTCTATTTTATCAAAAATTGTCACCAAAATGATAAACCCTTTTTGATACACTGCAGTATTTTACCCATAACAATATCAGAAAAAAGAAAAACACTCATAGGAAGATCTAGTAAGTATTGAATCACTTTTGCAAGTTGTCAGATTTAATCCAACCAATCAGTAGGGCTTTGGGGAGAAGTCCCCTATTTAGCTATTACAGCAGCAAGTCAAAGTACTGTCTAGTAACCACAGGCAATGTCATCTTGATGTCTCTACACTGTGACGTAATAGTGCTATATTCGGCCTTGACCTCTACCTTCCAGTCATTTTGATTTTGGGTGGGGCTGCCTGAAAGAGTGACAATATGATCTAGGTCGACAGAATTCTTGATCTTAAACTAATGAATTTGCAACTGGAATGAAACTGTTCTGCAAAAATGCAGTGTTTGAGTTATTGTGGAGAGATATATTATTTTTTTTTGGAATTGAAATTTGTAAAATTCACCATGTGATGAGATAAAAGCAATACATTACCGGTACATAAGAAACCTATATAATAGATTCATTGAGCAACATGCTTCTGCTGAAGAGTAAACAAGTCTTGTTTCTTGCATATTTGTGTATATTATTGTAGCCTAAAGGCTTGCATTACTCAACTTGTAGGGCTTGTGCTCCAGCGATGATCGCTCCGTGGTCATTTGCACGTTCTGATCAAATTTGTAACTGACCCATAGACTATTCTGTTAACCTAACACCCAGGCAGGGCCCTTACTCTAAAATGTGTTAGACAAATTGTAGTTCATAGCAAATGTCGCCATAGCAAATGTCAAATAAAAATTATTCAGGGATGCCAATTTTCAGGCAATAGCCTGAATTCAGGCCCTGGCGAGTTATTTTCATATCCTGGCGAGTTATTTTCAGACCATAGTTTAGGCTTTCTTGTGTAAAAAATAGCTCATTCTAGGTGATTTTCCGGCCCTCTGATTAATTCTATCTGGCATCCCTGATGATTATTACATAGCTCTCAGAGCCACAATACCTAACTATTCCTTTTCTCTCTTTCTCCCTTTTGTTGTTGTTGCAGTGGTTAAATGATCAAAGGTTCATCCAAAGACTAGTAGACCTCATAGACACAGAGCAGTCGGAGGACACGCATAGCAACGCAGCACAGACCTTGTGCGATATCGTCAGGCTCACTAGGGAACACATGTCACAATTACAAGAATGTGCGGATAACGATCCTTTACTCACAACAATAGAAATGTAAGTAGTCCTTCGTATTACCCACTTCCAAGATGTGGTGGGCAATTATTTATCCCTTATAGCTTTTTAGTAAATTTGATAATTTGATCATAGTTACTGTTGAGTTTCGAACTTGAAAACCCTTACAAATAGTGTTATTATCGTCTAGTGCCATTATCTTTAAAAATCTTTCTTTATTGTTCAATTTTTTGTTTCATTATCTTGCAGGGAAGAAACGGTATCAGAGTTACTAGATCATATATTCAAGCATACAATGTGTCCTCATCTTATTCGAATTGAGGGGCTTTTTCTACTGAACCGATTTGTTATTTTGCACATTGTCACTGTACTGTATACTATTGTTTGATTTGGTCTGTTATTTTGCACATTGTCATTGTATCCATTACTATTGTTTTATTGGTTAATTATCTTGCAGGGAGGAAACAATATCAGAGTTACTAGACCATGTTCAATGGTAACAAAATAATTTGTTTATTTTGCATATCCTCATTGTATCTATTACTATTGTTTTATTGGTTTGTTATCTTGCAGGGAAGAAACGGTATCAGAGTTACTAGATCACATGTTCAAGGGTACGATAACAGAGTCAGCAATAGTCAACGGTATTTCAATTCTACTTTCATTATTGGAGTTCAGGAAACAAGGGTGAGTACTTCTCAGTTAATCTTCATGTAGAGAATAACTGTTACAGTGAAACCTGCTTCAGCGACCACCTGTTCTATAAAGACCACAAGTTTTATTTCCCTTCAATAGACTTTGCCACTGATACATGTGTTACAGAAACCTGTACATAAAGACCACCGCCCATTTAGACCACTTTTATTGTCTCCCTTGAGAGGTCTTTATAGACAGGTTTCTCTGTATTTTAAGCTACTTACCACTCTAATCAAATACCCAGCATGATTGCTAACAAACAATGTTCAAGAATATTTCTTGTACAGTAGTATAATAGGTTGCGTGCGTGGTAAAATTTGATTACAATTACTTGGCTGGCATTAAGTGTTATATGTATATTTAATTTACTTATGGGTCCAAAATGACAAACCTTCGGATCCTGCTGTATGGATACTTTGGCAATTGAAAAGCAATAATGCATGTTTAATTATTATTTTGGTTTGTGAGCTGCCTTAGTAACGATTTGTAGATAATTCACATTTCTGTGAATTTATCTATATTTTTTTAAACGAAAAGCAATCGTACATGTTATTATTATATTTTATTTTGGTGAGCTGCTATAGTATCAATTTTTAGATAATTCAAGTTTCCTCTGAAGTTATATGTATTTTTTCTTTGATTCTACCAGGGCTGCATGGGCATTGTCCTTTGGTCCAGACGGTCAAGAACAGATGACCCAGCTGGACGCTGAGAGGTTAGCTAGGGGGGTCAGCGGTACACTCAAGGCAGTCGTCAGTAGATTAGCAGATATGCAGCAGTTATTAGAAGACCCGCCCGGGGTAAGCGATTCAACATGGTCTCAGAAATAAAACAATTTAAGACGGGTTTAAACAAACAAAATGGTAAATGTCGCGTATGGTCCAGATTTCCGAAAGATTTATGCCTTGAAAGTTCAATCAAGGATGCTGAAGACGTTTAAGATCCACAATTTAAGACAACAAAATAATAAACGTTGCGTATGGTCCATATTTCCGAAAGGGTTTATGCCTTGAAAATTCATGAATCGTAGATGGGGAAGGGGTTAGCTAGGGGGTTCAGCAGTATACTCAAAGCAGTCGTTGGTTGGCAGATATGTATCAGTTAGACGACCCTCCTTGGGGAGACGACTCAACAAATTAAGACAACAAAATAGTAAATGATGTGTATGGTCCAGATTCTTGAAAGGTATATGCCTGAAAAAAGAAAGATTTATAGATAGGGAAGAGATTAGCTAAGGGGGTCAGTGGTACATTCAAAGTAGTCGTCAGTAGGTTACGAGATATGCAACAGTTTTTAGATAATCCTGCTGGGGTAACTTAGCTATACTTCATCGCTGTCGGAGAGATTCTGGGAATGTAATCGTACTGTTAGGGATCTGTTATGGTTCAGTGAAATACTGTAAAACAAGAACTTGCACAAAACTTTTTTGAATCTTGTTTGTGGTCCAGGGCCCTGTTTCATAAAACTTATTATCAATATTAAATGCCATGATTTCAGTAGCTTAGTTATTGTAACTTGTTAATTGAAAACGAGTTTTCATGAAACAAGGCCCTGATTTGCATAAGTTTTATTCCTAAAACAACTCCCACCACTTATTTGTGAACAGCTTCATTTGGTGAAAATGCCCAATGTTTCCATATTGTTAAACATTTCATTTCAAAGTTGTTTTGGCTTTACTGTAAAAATAATAATAAAAACGGTGCTTATAAAGCGCTTTCCGCCGAAGTCTCTAAGCGCTAAGGTCCATTATGTTACAGGCAGCTAGATGACTTAAGTTCTTAAAAGTTTTAATTGTGATTGCCAAATGGACAGAGAACATTAGCACTCTACTGAATGTTTAGCTCAAATTTTGCATTTTTTTATAATTTTAAAAATATTTTTGAACAATCAACTCCAGAAAGAGGTTGTTAATAATTTGCATATCTGTTATTGTTGTTGCTGTGATTGTTGAATCTCATATTAACATTTTCCTTTTTGTTCTTACAGAGAAAAGAAATGTCAACGACAGTAGGCAAACTGGAGCCACCCCTTGGTAATGTTAGGTTACAAATCAGCAAATTAGTCTCATCACTACTCATCACTAATACAGCTGCTATCAATGCTGAACTGGCAAGACTAGGCACCATCAAGAAATTAGTCGTAAGTTCAGTTTTTTTTCTCCGTATACATTTACTTTGGGGAATGTCCAAGGTATTTGGCTATTCGGTGTCCAAATAAATTACCAAGCTTGTAGGAGTTTAGAAACATAAGTTGAATTTAAATTTGTAACTTCGTTATATATTTGGTCTGGGACCCGTTTCACAAAGTCTTTATTCAATGACAAAGGACAAAAATCAGTGACAAATCTGCTGATAACCAATCAGAAGCAGATTTCAGTAGCTTATAACAAAAACTGTCATTTGTCACTGATGACAAGTTTTGTGAAATGGGGCCCTGATGTATGCTCTTGTAGACGTATGTGCTACATGATCACACAATTTCTTTCACAATGCAATCGCATGAGCATTTATCTTTACAGGTAATCTTGAGCTCTGGTATGGGCATCGTATGTCAAGAGAACATGGCTATAATTCATTCTGGATTGTTTATCCTGCAGTAGATTGATTGTTTGAACCAGTAAAATCAAAACAACCTCCCACAAACTTGCTCAAAATCATCTTCAATAAAAACCACAACTCTCATTTGCTCATGGTGACCTGTGTTAAGCACATTGTGTCAGGCCGACTTACCCGGATTTTCTTATCTTTCTATGCTCATTACTCTGCCCCTATACATTTCCTACTAAAATCATTTGACACATGTCATTCATTTGTAATCTTAAACATTTAGTGTAAGTTTGTTGGATTCTGTGAGAATCAGTTTCTATCATTACCAGAACTCAAAGCTTATCTTTCAACAGCCAAAACAAAATACAGTATTAAAGCCACACTGTACTACTTGTAGCTACTTGCTCCCTCTATATAGAAACAATGCCTCATCGGTGACCATTGGTCCCCTATGATCCTCTTTTTCTTATGTCAATTGAGAGCTGAGTTGATGAGATAACCACCTGTCCAGTGACCTTGCAGGGTGGTCTAATCCCTGCTATAAACTAGTACAGATGAGCTTTAAGCAGCCACAAAAATATAGTATTAACGTATCTCTTCATCTCTCTCTCTCTCTCTTTTCCTCCCCAGGATCTCTTCTTAACGTATGCATGGAATAACTTTTTACACTTAGAGGTGGAGAAGTCAATTAGTACAATCCTTTCCAACAACCCCACAGAGTCAGAAGAAGGCAAGACGCAACATCCACTCCTAGTACATGTGAGTAGTACCCTGGGCAGCGTTTCACAAAACCTAAAGTACAATTTCGCCCAGACGAAGGGGCTCTGTATAATCAATTAAAATCAATTAAGGCAGTCAAATTGAGAGAGGTGGTCTGTAAACAAGCTCCTGTAACACTTCTCTGATTGTAAGAATTTTGTGCTAGTGATTTATGATATGAACATATAAAGCAGGGCTCTGTTTCATAATTTTTTTTTTAATAACAACTGCCACGGATCTATGGGCGCATTCATGCTTGATTTTGACGGCCAGAATCAGGCATCTGTTACGCGTTTAGTTTAAAAAACGATTGTGTTCATGCTCACTTTTGTAGAATCACCGAAAAACGGCGATCACGATCGCTGATCGTAAACTCACAAAAAGATGCGTTTACAATTTGTAAACGCGTTTAAATGGGGTCAACGCACTGACCTCTAGTGGGTCTACGTAGCATGCGCACACAGGTTTGCGAATCCAGCTGAAGGCCACCCAAGGAGAATTGCCTGGAGAAGTGAGCATGAACAGTGCACCGTGGAACTGCGATTACGATGAGCGTTACAAATCGCTCATTCTGCCTTCAAAATCAAGCATGAACACGCCCTATGACAAATCTGCTCACATCCAATCCAATAATAATATTAAATATTTAGGAGCGCTAAAAACAATAAGTACCATAGCGCTTACAAATACAAATATATGTAAAGAGGACAAGAAAGTACAGTACAGGAAGTATATCACATAGATCACTGGGGAAAAAGGTGAGTTTTGAGGGATCTTTTGAAGGTGGCAAGACAGGTAATTTCTCTTATGGAAAGAGGGATGCTGTTCCATGTCTTTGATGCAGCTACTGCCAAGCGTTTTTCAGCTGCTGAGAGTCTAGATTTGGGAATGTTAAGTTTACATGTGTCGGTTGCTGAACGAAGATTACGAGCTGGTGTATATATTTGGAGGGTGTCATTAAGATATTCAGGTGCCAGATGATTGAGTATTTTAAAAGCATACAGACAGAATTTAAACAGAACACGTTGGTGGAGAGGTAACCAGTGGAGCTCCTTAAGTAAAGGTGAAGTATGAGTTCTTGACCCAAGGCCAAAGATTAATCTAGCAGCACGATTCTGGACAGTTTCAAGTTTCCTTCTATCTTTGGCAGATAAAACAGTATAAAGACTATTGCAGTACTTATTGTTTTTAGCGCTCCTAAATATTCAATATTGATAGCAGTAGCTTATGACAGTTATCGTAACTTGTTATCGATCAATAGTTTCATGAAACATGGCCCTGGTTTTCTTTCAAATTAGCCTTTACATTGTATTTGACCTTAGCTGCACTATAGGCCTGCCTGCCTTCATCAGCTCGAGTTTGGCTGGTTCAACTATCCTGATCGCAAATTGCAATTGGCAGGATGTTTGGTTGAGAAAAAATATCCCAAGAAACCTTTGTCTTGTTTCCAAAATATCCAGCTATTTTAGAAATAGCGGGGCTAATTTGCGCCCGTCTGAGCTAGTTTGTGATGGGCGTATCGGTCTAGTGAAGACGCAATTTCGAACTTCAGCATAATATCCCAAGTCTGAAAATAGCGGCTTATTTGGCAAACTTGAGCTGATGAAGACAGGCCTAATGAGTGATCTAGCAGTACTTCTATGATGATTTGACAGATGAGTGGATTATCTTTCCAAGGATTAATGACTCTTTAGCGCTAACCAATTTCACTTTCAGTTTCGACAAACAACTGTACTAACATTGGAAATGTATAGAGGGGGAAGTGCTTCGCGCTAAAATCTGTTGTGTTATTGTTTTTTTTTCTTGGAAATGTTATGCTATATAACAAATACAATTGTGATAGATAGGTTTTTAAGAGTAGGTTTTGTAAAGCTCAATACATTGCTACGCTAAAATTAGATTGTTGAAGTGAATAGAGAAGTATATTAGTGTCTACCATAGCTTGAAATATATAATGCTGCAAATGGTAATTGTTGTGATACTATTTTTATTCCTGGAAATGTGATGCATTATAAAGGTATGATAGATGGGCTTTTAAGAGTGGCTAGGTTTTGTACAGTCCAATCAATTCCTGTGCAAATATTAGATTTTTCAAGTGAATACAGAAGTATATTAGTGTAGACCATGGCTTGAAGAATATAATGATGCAAAAAAGTCATTATTTTAACCTTGTTAGTCCCCCCCCCCCCCCCCCAACGCTTGTTTCAGTAAAATGTAAAGTCAGATACTTAATGTGCTTCAAAATTTTGCAAATTTCACTCGTGGTCCAGGGGGGTGTTTCACAAAGATCGTAAGTTGAACTTATCTCTAAGTTGGACTTAAAAATTATGGAAAGCCATTAGCATCCATGTTGATTCAAATCATTTATATTTTCTATTATCATAGGAAATTCATGTTCTTGATGTGGAATTTATGAAAAGTCTAAAATACTTGAATATATTTCAAAATAAGGCTACAAATGGCTCTCCATGATATTTAAGTCCAACTTAGAGTTAAGTTGGACTTCAAATCTTTGTGAAACACCCCCCTGATTTGCCTAAGTTCCCTGCAACCAAAAAAGGTTCATCTGGGCCCAATTGAAATCGGATCAATATCTATTTCATATTAAGTTTTGTTGATCCAAACTGTTTATATGACGGCACCCAGATCGCTGAACTTTTGCTTTTTGCCAATGCCAATGCAACAACGTACTTAAGAATTTGATCTATTTTGAGGTGAGGTGATATGTTAACAGCTCCGCACTGTTCCCTCATTCACAGCTGTTCACAGAAAGCAAGCTAATTCCCAAAGTGATGGAGGCATGGGAGGAGAACGACATTCATCAGAAGCAGGGCAGGTCACGGAGAGGTTACATGGGTCACATGACCAGGATAGCCAACGTCCTCACCCAGGAGATGGAGAAAGGTTGCAATAATGAACAGATCAAATCTCTCTATCAAGGTAATACAACCATCAAATCTTTGTTAATCAGGGGGGGTTTCACAAACAGTTAAGTTTGATTTCAAGTCATGCGTAAGTGCCAATGTGCATACGCGTAATCTCATTGGTAGATTACCCTATAGCGCGCGTCCCCTGAGCGCGATCTGACCAATGCGATGTGTCATATACCGCACGCAACTAGGAATTTAAATGCAACTTTTAGTCAAACTTCGCTCTTTGTGAAACACCCTCCAGGGCATCATTATCATAAGCACAAGTTCACCGACATCCTATTCAACATGTGTTCATTGTATTACACATATTTCAATGGGATGTTGGTGAACTTGTACTTATGATGGTTTTGTGAAACGATGCCCTGGGCCCCCTCTTACAAAGAGTTTATATCAATCGCAACTATGTACATAAGAGACAGGAGACTGCAAACTTGCGATTGATTGGAGGACTTGCGGTTCGTTCGTTCGTGTCTCCTTAGATCAAGATTACTGTAATCTTGATCTTCGGAGTAGTTGCTACAACCGGCCGTGTCAGACACGTTGCCCCGGGGTGCGAGATAGGACTCTTGTAGCGTGCCCCCATTTAAAACAATTATGCAGTTACAGTTAACAATACATTTAATTAATAGTATGAAACTATTAAAATTACTCTCATGTTACAGGAAAAAATATTGCATATACATATATTATGAATCAATTGATTTGGTCGATCCAGTTAGATGGCACAAACACGGCACTACTGGACAGAGATCCTAATAATTACAGAGCTTAAAGATAAACTCCAGTACTGGTAAAAAAAAAAAATTAAACGAATCAAACGAAACTTACACTGAATGTTCAAGATTACAAATAAATGACATGAGCCAAACAATTTTGGAAGAAAATGTATACTGGCTGAGTAATGAGCATAGAAAGACAAGGAAACCAAGGTAGTACCATCCCCGACACCATGTGTGTTGTCCCATATATAGCTTTCTATGTGAGTGTTTGTTACTTTACCAAGACTCGGTCAAATTTATTATGATTTTGATGACTCCAGAACCTTGCAGTGCACACCAATACTTACATGCTACATGATCAACTGTTTCTGATCCTTTCACACCTTTTCTTTCACAATGCAATCGCATTACCAGTACTAAAGTTTATCTTTAATATTAGTAATGTACGAAAATATTAGTAATATCTAATGTACATTAAATAGTATGCAGAGTTATGTCTAAATATCGTTTTAAAACCATTACTGTTCAATCAACATCACTCTTCAGTTATGTATACAAATACATGTATCAGTATTCTTCTTGTATTGTATGATTGTTTATATACTTTCATTATTGTTATGTGTTGCTGTCAATAAATTCAAATTCAAACATGTAACCTACATGTTTTGTACATACAGTAAAAGCACATCTCTAAAATGTTGATTCTTAAATCCCACAATTCAATTTCACTTTAATTATATACCTGTACAACTGTATGGTTATCTACAACCCAGTGCTTGGGAAAGTTCTTTGTCCTTTGCCATATTTACTATTTCGTGATTTATGTACCCTTGACTATGTTGATAGGTATATAAATACTTCAGTATAAATGCATCTATCTACAGCTCATCTAAATCTTGCAAGCAAGCATTCGATATCTATAAGCATTCCATCATTTTCCAGAATAATAAGAGAAAGGGAACACATGCATGAATTACTTGTATGATATGGTAAGCACATAAGGATACACAAGTTATAGTGATTTGTGAGTATATAATAGACAACAAAAATCGATCAAGAATTATAAGTACAGCAGCAATCTCTTTTTCACAAGTCTGTATGCACATAGCATAGCCAGGGCCATCATAAAATTAACAGGTACCAGTGTGCATGGCCCTTCAAATGTCACTCCCAAGTCCAGACCCCTGATATATATTCTAAATGAGAGCATGGTCCAAACAGATTACAAAAATTGAAACCCAGTACCATCAGCCAGCACCTGTTTGATGGAGTTCAGGCAGTCCTATCTTTTATCATCAAATGCCAAATACACAAAGGTGGCTTATTTGATCCTCAACCTCTCAAGCAAAGTCTTTAAAAATGACCAAAGCTATCCTTTCTAAGAAGAAAATTGTTATATACAATTAAATGTAGCTCAGTGATACAAGAACGGTCTTCTAACCAGGAGGTCCAGGGTTTGAACCAAACCGATGCACTACTGCTCTTTGGTAGGACAGTTAGCCTCAATTACCAAGCATAGGACATAAAAACTTATGTACACTTGTTGTTTATCTACAAGCATATTTTTTACTTTCTTAGCAAGCAGGTAAATAAATTAGGGTAAAATATACAATTCGTTATGAAGTAAATTTGTACTGATATATAATTCAGAACATTATAAAATGTTCAATAGACCACTATAATAAGCCAGTTCACGGTTGCAGTCTGAGCATGAGCAGATAAAGGTCATTGCAGAACAAATTTTGAAATACACGGAGACGAAATACTGGATACGTGCTCATGAAAGTTATATAACATTATTCATTCACGCACATTCAGTGCACTCCATGCTACACAGGTGGAAGTATTCTTAGAAAAGGGGGAACAAAGGCTATTTATATAGCACCTCCATCGCTGTGGGAGTGATTATTTAAAAATGTACAAAGTGGGACCTCTTCGTGTTTTGAAGATCTGTGGATATTCGGGGTCATTGCAGTAAGGTGCAAACCGTGAACTGGTCTATTGTATACATGGATACATGGAAGTACAGAAGTGATCACTTTTGACACTTAATTTCAAGATGCTCTGTAATAATTTTTTTAGTCTTGAAGCTGAGCTTCAGAGAACTCCTGAGTAAGAGCCCTATTTGGTCGTAGGATCAGCTGGGCTGTAGGGTAGTTAGCTGCTACCTCTCTCATGGAGTCCAAACAGTCTTCTACTGCTGGAGCGCGGGTCAGCTGGGTACCAAGGCAAGCCACAGAGCGTCGTTTGTTGTCCAGACGGGCTGACCGTCTGACTGGAGTGACCAGCAGGCAAGGAGTGGGTGGAGAATGGCCAATGGTCCGGTGAATCCTCATAAAGTAAGGTGTAGTTTCCTTGAGGCTGTACTTGATGCTCAAATGGGATGTATCCTCTCCAGGTCTCTTATCATCCTCTCCATCAGGAGACTGGTTCCCATCCTCTTCTTCAAACCTCAGGTGTGCTACAGGTGTCTGGACCTCAAGGCATGGTGAGTGCCTGAGACGGTAGTCCACACCAGTCTCTATGGAGGGAGAGTTCCATCTGGTCTCTTCGGATTCCTCACTGCTCATCTTTAGCTTGAGTCTGTATGTAGCCAGGGTGTCCAGGATATCTTTTACAGGTTCAGGGTTAAACTCCACAGCTTCAAACAAGCACTCAATGGCAGACTGGTCTCCACCCTGTTTCTCAGCAATCTTTGCCCTGCACAGCCAATAGCCTGCACTTTGTTGGATGAGTGGAGCTTTGGTCACCATTCCATCCAGCCAGGCTAACATGTCTTCCAATGGGCATCCCTCCTCCAGCATTTCCAGACACTCTTTCATGGTGCCATGTACAGCACCACCTTCACCAGACCGACGTGATCCTTTCCCTGGGGTGTCTCTCCTGTTCCTCCCAAGGTGAGGTGTCCCAGACCTTCTCCTTGTGTGGCTGCCTCCTCCAGGGGTGGTGTGTTGCAGGGACGACTCGTAGCCCAGGAAGTTATTGAACCTAGAGGGTGTCTTACCCTTGGCTATTAGCCATTGCTCCAGTCTTCCTCTTATGTCTGACTTGCTCTTGCTTGGTCCAGGTGTGACCTTGGGTGTGCAGCTGACAGGGATATTTTCATCACATGCCTCCACTGCTGTTGACATCTTGGGCGAGGAGAATCGAACAGACTTCCGACCCTGGGTATGGAGGCTGACATGTGACAGATCATGTGACCTGATAGGAACTTGTTGAGTCATGGCTGTTGTGATTTTATCACTTTTGTTTAGAAGCAATGGGACTTTATTGCCTGCTGCTATTTTTTTGCCCTCATTCCTTTTCACACTATTTGAAAATTGTTGGGGAGTGTTCATCCGGGTTGATGGTGCTAGGCTTCTCCTGCCAGGCTGCTTGTTAATCTGTAGATTACTGAATGTACGTCTCCTATCGATAGCTACATCATGATGGGTTGAAGGGCCTGGGGTATAAAACCTTGCTTGCTTGCTCTTATCATCACTTCTCTCCATCTTTTTCTCAGATTTAGATATCTGAATGGATTTCCTCTTCAATGGATGACTTGGAGTTGTGTGCTTGGACAGCAGTTTTGTCTTTTCTCTCTCCTCTTGTATTTTACTTAGGATAGGCAATCCCTTCTTTGCTCTCCATGCTTGCAGCCTCTTCTCCATGATATCGTTTTCTACCGAACTTCTTCGCCTTTTCCGACAATCAGAAGATTTAGAAAGTGACTCCATCGTATTCCGAAATTATATGGCAGAGTACTTTCTAGCAAAGCAAGGCAGAGATAAAATAAGACAAAACAAATCTCGAAAACTGGCAGTCTTGACTGTTTATGTTTTTGTAATTCGCTCCTCCTTCTGTCTGTCCTGACTTGCGGTTGATTTGGATCAATCGCAACTCTTTGTAAGATGGGATCCAGGTCTAAACAAAGTCTTTTTAAAGTCCCAATTACACTGTGCTATGTTGAAATAGTTGGACCTTCAGCTAGCTTGATTATACTTAATAAAGAGAACTTCCGAAAAAAATAGATAAAGCTATGCTTGGCTCACAATGTAAGTTGTACTGAATGTCAAGTTTAAAGTCTTTTCTTCTTTCCTCAAAGTCTTTTGTCCTATAATTTGTTTGAGAGCAAACACATATATTTCACTGTACACTCAGTGAAGCATGAGAGAGGCTCTATACTTGATACATTTAATGCGCAAAGATAAACAAGTTTGATTGAGATGTTATATTAGAGCTCAGGTTATGATACTCTATTTGTAGAAAATAATGAGAGAAAGCATGTTAAAGGGAATATTCAAGCCCAGGCTATTGTACAGAGAGAAAGAACAAAGACAGGATAAACATACAATTGAAAATTACAACGAACGGAGAGGAAAATAACACAATTTATATAGTATCATATTCTGTAGCAATATGGAAGTATCAGTTCATTTTTAATAGTGGTAGCATAATTATTCAATTCCCTCAAATTTTTAAAGATATTATAAATATACTAGCAGGACCCGTGGAAAATCCACGGGATTCTAGGGGAGGGGGCCAAATAGATAGATAGAGGCCTATGTGCTATCCAAAAAAAAATTTAGATTATCTTTATATAGAGAATTTTTGTCTCGCCTGCGTAGCAAAAAGCGAGACATAGGCGCCGCTTTTCCGGTGACGGCGGCGGCGACGGCGACGGCGACGGCGACGGCGACGGCGACGGCGTCAACATCAAAAACTTAACCTAAGGTTAAGTTTTTGAATTTTTGATATAATTTTGAAAGTATAAGTTTTTAGTCAATGAAACTTTGACCAGAGGGTAATCAAGTATCCCCAATCATGTGAATAGAATTTCAGATCACAAAGTCAAGGTCAAAGGTCATTTCAGGTCAACAGACTTGGACTATGTTGTAGCATCATCATCAAAAACTTAACCTAAGGTTAAGTTTTTGAATTTTTGATATAATTTTGAAAGTATAAGTTCTTAGTCAATGAAACTTAGACTATAGGGTTATCAAGTCTCCCCAATCATGTGAGTAGAATTTCAGGTCACTAAGTTAAGGTCAAAGGTCATTTAAGGTCAATAAACTTAGACTTTGTTGTGGCATCAACATCAAGATTTTCAAAATGCTTCTTCTTCGTTATTTTTCCACGATTTTGATTCTGATTGTTTCATATGATAGGGCTAGGAGGGGGATTTAAAACTTCTACACAGAATCGTGAAATTCATTATCTATGCTAATTTATGCAAATTTATTCAAAATCGCAAAAAATGCTTCTTCTCCTTCATTTCTCGACCGATTTTGATTTGGTTTGCTTTATCTGGTAGAGCTAACTTTGGTACACTAAACTTCTACACAGAATTTTGAAATTGTTCTCCATTAATTAATTATGGTAATTTATGCAAATTTATTCCAAAAATAACAAAAGTTGCTTCTTCTCCCTCATTTTTTGACCGATTTTGATTTGGTTTGCCTTATCTGGTAGAGCTAAATTTGAAACACTAAACTTCTACACAGAATTTTGAGATTTTGCTCCATTGATTATTTATGGTACTTTATGCAAATAAAATGAAATTATGTCCCTTCCAGGGCATCAAATTTTTATTTTTTGACCAGTTCAAAAGTGTTCCACATAAAATTTACGATATTTGTTGTTGCGAGATGCGGATGAGCGCTGCGTCATTGAAGTTCTGGTTTATCATATTGAATTGCGTTATGCAGGCGAGACCGCCGAGAGCGTTTCCCTTGTTATAATATATGCTGTTTGACCATGAATGGCGCATCGTAAAACAAACTATGTCAGATAGGATCTCGATAATTACGATTTATTTGCATTATTATTGTTGTGATTTCAATGTAGTTTCTTGAAAAGACTACATATGCAGAGGCTTGGATTATGATTATGTTGGCATTGTTAACAAAATGTGTATAATTATTTTCAAAGTAAAGATTTTACGCGAAAAATTGGACGGTTTGTGCACAAATTGACTCGACTGTTTGTGGGACTGTGAGCGCAGAATCCAGTGAAAGATTTTTTTTTTTTCGGGGACTCGATCTATATCAAATTTTGGGAAAATTTTTGGGGGCTACTTTTTTATCTTTCGGGGGCTCATTTTTCTTTGGCTAATTTTTTATTAATTCATTTAAAGATGCAGTTTGTTTAGTTTAGTAGCGTAGTGTTACGTAAAAAAGGCGTACTTTCTGCGTCAAGTTTCTACGCCGAAAGTACGCGAATTTTGTTAAACATATCAAATTGTTTGCGTCCATCTTGCGTACTTTTTTGCGTCCCTCAGGGTATAGTAACGTAGGCCAGCGTACTCTCAGCTCAGCGTAGTTGGTACGCAACTCTACTATGGACCCCACGCCAATTAGTGATCGACCTGCCAGTGTCACAAATAAGGCATTAAAAATATGCTCATCTGACCGTAATTGCCTAAAACCCCTGAGCTTTCGGGGGTTCAGCCCTTTGTACCCGTGGACACCACGCCTGCTCTCAAATCGCTTTGAGTTACCTGACACCCCCCCCCCCCCATACTTTAAAAATTGATTTGATGCAAGAACTGTATCATACTAAAAGTATTATCATGTTTTTAAACGACCATGACGACTGTCTGATTTTCTTGTGAAAAATGATTATCAAAATTCAGTATACAACTATACATGGCCAGAATAATCACAATCCAAGCCCAGGTTTCATACATCTATTCACGAAACTATATTGAAGTCGGGGCAATAATAGCAATTTCAAAGTGTTGTTTAGACTCTCCTCACACCACGGATAGGCCTGGCTACTCCGGTCACCGCTACTCCATCATGCTCACACACTCAGCTCCGACAGCACCGCCGACAGCAGCGCTCAACTGCCGTGGCAATACACTGTGGACTCAAGGCAGTTTGCAACTGAACTGTCACGTGAAGGCGTACTATATCACAGATCTATTTGCGCTATTCTTGTTGTGATTTCGATGTAGTTTTCATGAAAAGACCAATAAAACAGAAGCTTGGACTATGATTATGTTGGCATAGATCACAGAATTTGTATAATTATTTTCAGAGTAAAGATTTTACGTGAAAATAGGTCCATGGTTTGCGCCAGTTGTCGCAATCGCCTCGACTCGAATCGACTGTGGTGTGTGCATGTGTGTGACCTGAGAGCGTGTAATACACGTACACTATGGGCGCTTGGCCTACAAAGCATATATCCTATAGAAAGACGCATAACACGGGTCAGCTCAACCCGTTGAGCGTACATATTGGCTACATCCCATCACCCGGGTGAGTCGTCTGTTGATGTGTATTTCTCTTACACGCTACAAAGCGATTCCTATAGCAAGAGGTCTTACTCAGGATACGCCGCAGCCTTTTACAATGAGACTTGCTACACCCGTTGACGCGAGTGGATTCTCGTCCATCGTGTGTCTCTTCGTCTCTCTTTGATAATTAGACAGAGGGCGGGTGCACGCCTTGCGGACTCGCTCTCGCGGGTTCGTCGCCTCCTCGCAATCCACGCCGCCCGCCGTGCTCTCGCCCGCCCGTCCTCCCCGGCACCCCGAAACCGCGTTTAACGGCGTGGACGTCGATCGCGGGGTCGACGTGGCACGCGGGTTACGGGAGACAGGCCTCGTGGAATTGTGCCGCCCTCCCCGCGCCACGGCGGAGGCGGGCGGGGTCGGGGAAAGACGTTTTTGAGGAACCGTTTTGTACCCGTTTGGACCCCCCGCGGCGATTAGTGGTATTAGTAATATAGATTGGAATTTCCATAATTTTTTTATGAGATTGTTTGAAATGATTTGTTTCTCCAAGATTTGTAAAGCACTCTATTTGTTCTTTTCTTTGTAGAATATATCCCCGAGGATGTAAGAGAGAAATGGAGTTCATTTCTAGCTGGCAGTCTAGCAGAAACTAACAAGAGAAATCTAGTTGAATTGGTAAGTCAATGAACATCAGTTGCTGCTAGAATAGACCAGTTTTTACTAACAAATTCAAATTTATGGATGTTTCTTTCCCAGGGACCTAGTGATGGCTTATTCCATTATGTTATTAAAGAATGAACTACATTACTTGGAATCCAGTCTGCATACATTACTTGTTGCTATGTCGGACAAGCCTTGGGCAAGCTTTCAGGTTGTTTCAAACAGCTCTTGTTTAAAAAAGTATGTATACAATTTGAATATGTCAGTAAATCCGTCAATTACTATATGTCTCACTAAGTAAGAAGTGATATTACCCAATGCAGCCAAGTAAAATTTACTTCTTATTTTGTTTGAAAAGTTCAATCATGACCCCCTTCAAGAATGTTGGTTTGGAGCCCTGGACTAGGCTCATCAGAAATTTGGGTATAGTGTTTGGCCTTTGTTGAAGTTATGAAGTTGGTTAATATAGGAAACGTATTGCGGAGCATTTTATCCTCGAACATTCGATCTTTTCATTTCATTCCATCTCATTCCGATTGTTCCCCCCTTCCAGGTCGGGACCCATCCGCTGCATTCGTCAAGTGAAGACGATGATTCCGACTTCAAGGACATCGACTTTGGCAAAGACACCGCTCTTCAACAGGTGAGTCATCAATCCTTCTCTTTAGTACTCACAGACCCATCAAATAAATACTGGAATGAAAAAAATAGAGGGCATAATTGTCCGATTTTATCTTCTGAAGGACCCTTTAAAGACGGCCAAAGTCCAATGCAAGATGAAATTACACTCTGAGCTTTGTCTCTTTCTATAGATAGACTGTTCGAAAATTTAAATGTTATTGTCAGAATAGTCATTTCTTCCAAAAAGATAGTCTTAGATAAATTGGAAATTCATCACTATTGATTTGTACTTGTAGAAGTTTATAGTTATGATTTCATATTTTCTTAACCATGTTGAAATTTGAAAATGAAGCTAAGTATTTTATGTCAGTCCTTATAGTTTTTCAATAAGATAACAGTTTTGTAGGACGTAAGACACTTTAATTCAAGAAAGAAATCCGATTATGCTATGGATGAAAATATTATCAGTTTAGTTACTTTTGTAAATATTGCATCAATTAGAAATGCTTTATATTGTTCTTAGATGCCATGATGTGTGTTAGGGTAGTTATGTTAGGTAGAGGTGACGACCCAATCCTGGGACCTGTTTCACAAAGCCTTTTATCAATGATAAATGACAAAATCAGTGACAAATCTGCTGATAACCGATCCGAAGCAAGGATTTCACTAGCTTATAACAAAGACTGTCATTTATCACTGATGACAAGTTTTGTGAAACAGGCTCCTGTAGATTATAATGTAGAGTTTGAAATGGCCACGAGGTGCCATGGACAATGCATGCCTGACATGTCACATTCAAAACTCAGCCATGCCCCGTCCGTCCCATCCACCCATCCATCCATCACAACTCAATCAATCACCTCATTCCCGATCCAAACCATTGATATGAATTGATGACTTGTATATTGCTACATCATGTATATACATCGTTGCTTGCACTCTTTCAATGGGCAATGGACTCCAAATCCACTCATACAAGGGTATTCCCCCTCCCCCCTCATACAAGGGTATTCCCCCATCCCCTCCCCTTATAAAGAAGAACCATCAGCCCTGCCCATGCCTTTTTTTTGTGCTGTTGTTCAGGGAAACATGAGGATATTAAATTCACTTGTCGATTCACAATTCCTAAGCATCTTACATCAATCTGCCCCACACCTACAGTCAGCGTTTATTGATATAAATTTATTGAAATAAATGATATTTTGAGAGGGGTGCATTAAACCCACTTTCCCAGTGCAACCTTACATGTTTGAGGGCTAGCAAATTGAATCCTGCTTATCGGATGAAGTGATTCCATCCTTGTAACTGCATTGGCCCGTTGATTGCTGAATTCATTACTTGCCATAGGTTTAATACAGGGGCTGCCTGGTTCCAATAGGGAATGGGTTAATAATATCACAGAGATAGAGACATGTTCATTGCATTAGCTTCAAAGATGAAGATCATTTGCACAACTTTGCTGAACTATATAGTCATGTCTTCTCTTATATAATGTATCAAAAGTATCATTTTAGTAGCTTCACGAAAACAAAGAATTCATTGCTAGCTTTTCAATAATCAAACCATCAATACCAATTCATATTACATTTGTCCACCGTTTTGAGAACGAGCAGATCTTATAGATCGTTCATCACTATTCCTTATGTGAAAAGTCACTGTCTTGCATCTTTTATGTCAGAAGCCATGCTCTATATTCAAGAATTCATCATTATAAAGGGGTTTAGTGAGGGTAAACCACACACATTTGTAACCTCATTCTCATAATAGGGTGGGGGCGGAAGGGGGGGGGGGGGGGAACCATTTGACCACGCCCACATCTCAGAAACTCATCATCATACTTCAATGGGGGAGGGTAAATCATTAGACCATGACTTGTCCATATATATAAGACCCATCCTCCATAATTGGGCGGGGGAAACCAGTAGACCACACCCCCTTAGAAGTCATCCCCCTTACCCTCATTTCATCAACTAAAACACACCCAAACCCCACCCCATATCAAATCCACCACCACCACCACACCCACACCCATGTGCTAAGAACGATGTAAGCAACACACATGGCATTTCGAACCCTCTCTTTGGCCGCGCTGTATGAACGGCAGGCCTTCTCCGATTATCAGATGCAACAAATGACGTCCCATTTTATTGACCAGTTCGGCTTCAACGACGAAGAGTTTGCAGAGCAAGAGGAGAATGTCAAGTAAGTCCAACCATTTTCCTTGATTCTATTTACAAATTTATTCATCTGTTAGATATTTTGTAGTTTTTTCATGTTGTATTAAACAAATTGCACCTTTGCCTCTCCTCCTGTGCCTTTGCAGTGTCTGAGTAACATGTGTGCGCTTGACGTATTTATTAACCTCTATTGTATTTTAGTGTCATGTTTTTCTGAGCTCCATTTCATAAAGCTTGTTATCGATAAGAAGATACATTGTTACAAGCAACTGACATCCTTACATTTCATTGGTCGTGGGCAGACTGTGCCATATATCTGTGGCAGCTGTTATTGATAACAAGTTTTATGAAATTGTGCCATTCCCATTTGTGCAAAATATTTATCTTTGATAGGAATGCTGTTTTCAGTCATTTTTAAAAAATTTATTTATTATTATTACTCGTTTATTGTTCTTTTGGGAAACAAAATCTGAAGAGCTTGGTTATTAAGTTGACTTTTTTCTTCTAAACTCAGTTAATCTACCTCTGCAATCTCATATTTGCCATAGTTGAATTGTATACATCAGTTTCATCAAACTGCTTTTATATACTTTCCATAACGTCACTTCTGACGTTAAATAACAAAATTCTTCAGAAACGTATGCAAACATAAATTAAGAAATTCTCATTTACAAAATGCAGAGGCAGACGGAAGTGTGTATGAATGGCTTTAGTTGCCCTGTTAAAACGTGTTTGCATAATCTTTCAAATTCCTCCAACGTGAACCATTCAATATTTCCATCATTTGTTGCATAACCACTTTTTAAATGTTGAGAAAATATTTTTTGCTTTATTCATATATCTATATTCTGGCCCGTTAAAAGAAAAATCCTTGTTTTGTTATATACACGGCCTATGTTTATACTCTTTATAACATTAAAATCTTTTTCTACCACTTATGTATTCTCTCGTTTGTGTGTTTGGTGAAAGTAACACTGTCATTTAGTTTCTTTTTTAAAAGAACTCTTCATTTTTTCACTCATTGTATTCTTCTATGTTTCACATGTAACATATTTATCCATGCTTCATTTCGTTCCATCTCCTGCGCTTACAGCCCAGTGTGCAAGGCTTCACATTAACATTGTTATAAAGCTTAATCTTCTAAAAGATCGCCTTTACCTGCTCAATTTCTTCGTCAATTCTATGCTTTGATAAATTGTAAATTTTCGGAACAAAAAACAATAGTGGAACATAATCTGTTGTCAGCTCCCTATCCTTTTTTTTTAATCACTAGCAGATTTAAAAAGAGTACTAAAATAACATTTTGTATCTTTATAAAAACTACTTTAGGAGGGAGAAGATAAAAACCATTCAATTTTGACGTTTATCAATTGTTATCTGTCATTTATGGTTGATCAAATGGCAAATAAAAAGAAAGCCCCCCCCCCCCCCTCCCCCTCATAATTCTCTTAGTTTCGGTTTCTTATGGTCTTGTGAGGGTTTGCCATTCTTGTCTTCACTTTAATACAGCTAACTTTTGCAAAATTTATCACATAACCTTCCCCTGCATGATTTTATGTTTGTCAATTCAATGGCTTTTGGGAGCGCAATTCTTCATATTTTCACTGTTACATGTGTGTTAAATGTTCTGTTTTTGTGCATATAAATTTCTTATGAAGGATCCTCCTGTAGAAATTTGCATATTTTTAATTGTTTTTCTTCAAATATACATCAGGGCTCCTGTTTTGCAGGGAATGCCCAGATTAAAAAAGTTAGGTCTGTGCTAATGGAGCCCATTTTGAAATTCTTTTTTTTTTGGGGGGGGGGGGGGGATGGGAGGGGGCCCTTGTTTTAAAACTTAGGGTGTCTTGTTTTGAAATTTGGGGCACCCTTGTTTTAAAATTTAGGGGGTCTTGTTTTGAAATTTGGAGAGCCCTTGTTTTAAAATTGAGAGGGTCTTGTTTTGAAATTTGGGGAGCCTTGTTTTTTAAATTTGGGGGACCCTTGTTTTAAAATTTGGAGGGCCCTTGTGCACCATGTCAATGTGTGGGTTACGGTAGTCGTTAATGTCGATCTGTGGGTAGAGAATATTACTGACAGTTGACAAGAAAAATCTCAATGTGGGTGGACATACATATTTGGTTATTTTGGTTAATCTATCCATATCTGAAACATCCCTTTCAATACAAATCACATGAGCATGACAAGTCCCGTACAATGATTTTAACTGTTTGAGCAATTCCTTCACATTTCACCTTATGCTCTTGAAAATGGGTGAAGATGCCGTTTGGAGGTGCCTTTTTGTAAAATAATGAAAGAAACACTAAGACCCGTTTCATCTTGTGTTTAGTGTTCATACATGTTTTGGTGTTCATGAGTTGCTGTATTTATTCAAACCTTTTTATCTAATTTTCCTGTTGCCAACACCCTGTTTCTTCTTCACCTTCTCAACTTTTTAAACTTGTGTTACTTGTTATCCTGTTACATAATTCTTGACTGTTGACAGTTGTGAAATCAATCGTTAAAATGCATTGTATTTCTATACAAAATTATAAAAAAATATACTCTCCTCGATGCATGAGGATATCCAATCGTGATGCAGAATGTGCCAAGAGCTAAGAAGATGACGACAAAACAAAACACAAAAAAGCAGGAAAAGTGGGGAAAGAAAGGAAAAGTTTCAGAAGTATTTCTTGCAGTGTCTTTGAGCTTGTAGTTGATTTTATTTATGGGAGGAAGAAAAGTGTCGAAAAGCCTTGAGATACAATGTTTTGTACAAAGTTATTGTGTATCTCACATTATGAGGTATTCTTTCTTTTCATTGGCATTTAATGTTGCATTTTCTACAGAGGCAAAATTAGCCTATTGCAGTTGAAGAAAAGTTCAATACGTTGATGATGTGAGCCATATTGATTAATCATGTTGATAAGGAATGTCAGTACATCTTGAATTCTGTAGAACTTTGGGGGAGGGATGCGACAAAAAGAAAACATCTACTTCTTTTCACTTTTGACCTACTTGTTAGTGCTTTCACGAAGGCCAAAATTCTTGATTATCATGTCAAATGTGTTCCGTTTCAGAGGAGAAAATTATTGAAATTGAAAAAGAATTAAAAAAAAAAATCTCTTCCCGTACATCTTGACTTATGTTGAACATTTGGAGAGCTAAGTGACACAAAGTACCTGAATCTACATTTTCTGTCTTCCTTTAAAAGTGCAATTTCAAGACTTCAAATTCACTTCTGATTTGATGAGTAGCCAAAAGCACGATTAACATTCATTGTATTGAAACCCCCATCTTTTTTATGTTTAGCGACACAGTTTTGTCTCGTTATGCTATTAAACATTTCTTTTTCTCTCTTTCTCCCCTTCAGCAATCCATTCGACAGGATATCAGACATCAACTTCTCAATCTCTGCAAATGAAGACAACGTAAGTACTTCAAGATTATTTCCATTTTGGGGAATTTCCCTTCTACTCCCAATCGTGTATAAAGGACCATGAGGGCTTATTTAGTATCTTTGGCGAGGCTTGGATTTGTGACACAATGATCTAGGCGATTTAAGCTTGTAAACTAAGAATTTTAGGGAAATTCCCTTTCAAGGAAATTGATGCATGAATCGAAAGTCATTTAATGACAGGCTCCTGAATTGAAGCTTGGAATTGAACTAGAGTATTAAATTATTCATAGAGCATTAGGCCATACTTTTAATGTTATCAAATTTAGTGCTCCAAATTCTTTAAGTGCCTCGTTAAATGGTTTATGCAATGGTGAGAATGCAATTGCATACATTACGTGTTGTTTGGTAGGACAAGTCTTGAGGTTTTTCCTACCTAGCAACAATTAATGAATGCCTTTTGCATTCTGACTATTGAAATACAATTATTCAAATAAGGTGAATGAAATAATTGGTATTGAGGTGCTTCACAGAGACGTGTGCATCAAATTTGTTTAAATTATGAAAATGGATTAATAAAGCTTAGAACTTAACTAGTGTAATGAATTAATCAATGGAGAATGTGTACTTAATCTCTATTTGATCTTTAATCCCAACAGCCTAACTCAGCCCTATTTGAAGCCTGCTGCAATGAAAGAGTACAACCCTTCAACGACAGTAATAGTGATGAGGAAGATATCTGGGAAGAGAAAGAACTCACGTATACAGCCAACAATGACCTCAGGTCAAGGTAGGTCAACTTGGGTCGACTCTGATCTGGCTTATAAATCATAGGAGGGAGGGAAGACAATTTTCTACCAATGTTCATTCTGGCAAGGGTGTACTGCTCTCTGTTTTATAATGCCGAGTCGAGTGTTAATTGCGCGCGCGAATCCACCAGCGATTATTGAAAAATCGATTATCGTCTCAAGGTTGGTAGAAGCTTAAAAACTACATGTTATCATTATCCCCAACTGATGAAAGTTTTCTGTATCAATGTTCATTCAGTTTTTTTCCCAAAAGTGTTGTAACTTTCATTTACTTTCGTTATATTCATGATTAGTATTAACGTTATATGTTCATCCCATTTTTGCTCAATTTATTTGTATAGCTTAAATTCATATAAACATGATTTCACAGAGTTTTGAAATATGTGATAATTCTTTAATAATTGGCGTATTATTGACAAGCTTTAACTATTTGTAATGACTGATGAATAAGACATAACAGCATTTAGGTGACATGTGGCTGAGAAACTGTCAGATTCTGTTAAAACTTTATTTTGATCGATACCAGAAATTTTAGAGGCGGCTTTAGTATGATAGCTAACATTTAACACTAGTTAAACTACAAGCTTCATGAATCCATTTTCGTAATGGAACCAAATCTGATGCATACGTTTCTATGAAGCGCCTCAATACAAATTATATCACTCACCTGTTATGTATAATTGTACTTCAATAGCTTCTTTTATATGATAGCTAACATATTTCTTTGCTTGAAAAAGAAGCCTTTGAAATCGAACGTGAATCATTTTTGTTGTCATCCCGACAGTGATGTATCATCCAAGAACGAAGGAGGTAGCGACCAGGCCAACCATAGTAGTAGCGACGAGGATGAGGATGGAGATAACACAGTAGAAGAGTTCCCTCCCCTGGAGAGGGCGGCACAGAGTCCTCTAGCGGGTCAGAACGGCGAGGACACCAAGATGGATGTAGACTCAGAAAACAGTGAGATATAGCTTCCATTTGTGTGCATTGGATAATGTAAACAAACAGAAACTTTTGTTGCTTTCGCATTCGTAAAATGTACTGAAGTTTTGTGAGTGGTTCAGATTAGCAAATGTTTTTGAATGTCACAAAGTGATATCACAATTGACACAGCACCAAACTTGTTTCTTTCTGTGAAAATTGCCCTACTTAATTTGCGAAAGTTTTATGTTGCAAAGTTTGATTTTACAGTAATACATTCATCAGAGCTACCAGATAGTATTCTAATGACCACAAAGAAGTTTTGTTCAGCCTTTGAGTACAACCTACACAAGACTCATTAGCCACTCATTGTGTGTAATAAAAAAAGAAAAAAAGAATGAAAACAATAACAAAAATGATAAAAATTGTTTGCCAAAGTCTTTTTGTTCACCACTCCTTTAGTTCTACACAAGACTTGATAGCTACTCATTGCAGGTAACTAACACCACAGAAAAAGAACGAAAAAAATAGCAAAAATGATGAACATCGTTTGCCAAATTTTCTTTCTGTTCGTCACTCCACAGCATGGCAAGCCAACTTTGAGCAAGCTCCAGTTGCCATGGATACGACCCCCAGCGGCTGGGAGCAACCTTCATCGTCAACGGCGACGGCGGGAGGAGGAGACGAGGATACAGGATGGGCTAACTTCAATGAATTCAATGCTAACTTTACTCCTGAAGACGGGTAAGCATATCCAGGCCTCATAATTGCCCGATTTAAATCGGTTTCCCAACTTTCTTTCTTCCCGATTTTATCCTGATTTATCTGTTTTCTCCCTTATTTTCTCAATATTCCCCAAATTTTCCCAATTTCCCCCAATTTTCTTACTCAAAAGGGGGGAATGTTGTTAGATGCCATTTTTCCCCCTGAATCCTCTTTAAAAAAAAAAGTCATGGTTGAAGAGGAAAAAAAAACCTATTTTTTTTAATGCTCACATTCACCGTTAATTGAAGACTAACAGTCAATAAAGACCTAATGTGTGTGACTTGAGTTTTTTACTCTAAAGTATTCAGCAAAGGCCCTATTTCAATCTGTACATCTTTATTTCTTGAGTTACCATGAACACAAAAATCAATTACATTTACAAGGGGTATGAATAGTTTAGTTAACTGTAGACAAATGTTGATTGTATTTCTTGTTTTTAATGTTGAAAAAAACTTGAATTGAACTGGAACTGAACATGAATTGAACTCAAATTGAGCTTGAATTGAGCATGAATTGAACTTGAATCAAATAGAAATTGAACTTGAATTGAACTTGAATTGAACTCAAATTGAACTTAAACTGAACTTAAACTGAACTTGAATTGAACGTGAATTAAACTTGAATCAAAATAAATGTTAAATTTGACTTCCTAGTTCACATGGACCAAGGAGTAGCTCCCCTGTGGCGATGGAAAGCGAGCCTTCATCACAAGACCTCAAGGAGACGAGTGAAGCAATGGCATCCTCATCTAGTCCCAGCTCAGATGTACAAAGTTCAACAGATACCATCAGAAGTTCAGCGTATGGTAAGAATCAAATATGAAACGTCCATTTGAGCTGGCATGTTATATTCAATTATACCAGTTTTCAGGCTGTTGCCAAATTTTTAGACTTTGACACTTTCCCTGTTGCAGGCTTTTTCAAGCTTTATATTGTGCAACACATACAAAGCATCATTATGTCTAAATCTCTTTGCAGCCTTATTGGGTAAAGGCAAGTATCTCTGAATAGTTTTGTGCTTCTGGCTGCCAGCGTTGGTACCGATGGAATTATCAGTATGCATTAAACTAGAAAGGGGGTCTGAAGTCCTAACCCCTGCCCATGAAAGCAAGAATCACTCATTTGCAAACCATGCAAATGTTTAGTAGATCAAAATGGGTCCAAAGGCTGGGGAGAAAGAATAGAGGAATGAATGCCAACTCCAAGTGAATAGATGTCATGAAAATGAAAGAGCTTTAATGATTATTGCAAAACATATCATTGTGAATTTTCATTTACATGTCCCAGAGCATAGTTTAGATATCTAAGAGCTATATGTGTTATTTAAGTGGAATATTTATATTTTTTAAAATTAATTTTGCAATTATTTTTGTATTTGTATTTATTAAAAAATCTTCATTCACATTGTACATGAATATTTTGTTTTTTACAATACATAGGCATAATAATTATTACAAATGTGGAAAAAAATCATTTGAAAGATGCATGGAAACGATAACAAATAGTTGTACTAGTATTTATAATTATAAATTACAACAAATCAAATTAAAGTTTTATGAATGAACCTCATCTAAATCTTGTTTTTCTATTATCCAACCAGTTGTGTCAAGTAGTTCTTCAGATCAGGCAACGGTCGGTGAAGGATCACCAAACACCTCAACAGAAGCTGTTCAAGACCAGTCAGAAGAGAAGTGAGTATATTTGTGTTATTATTATGCCCTATTCAGGCAAAGAGAAGTAAACCATCTCCCCAAAAAACAAAATTTTACATGTGTATGAAATAGGCAATATTTTGGTGTTGTAAAGAAATTTTGGCTTGCACCCAGTAGAAATCACATGCTCGATCTTGTAATTGAAAACAAGTCTGAAAAGATCTTGGAGCCAGGGGGATTTGAATCTGCCCTCCACTGCTTGCCCGGCAGCGACTGTACTGTACATCACTGGTCCAGACATGGCACAATTTAATACCACAACTCTCCTGACTTATTCTGGTTTATCAGACCGCCAAAATATTTCGTTGATGATATAAATCTGTATGTCCAACAAAGGCCTTTTGTATCCTCCCTGATATTTATGTCACAGAAATGTGAAGTGCACCCCAAATCTCTCATTTCAATGTTCTGCTTCATGCTTTGAAGTGGTTAACTGCCTTGGTCTGAATAATCATTGAATATCAGGTCAACAAGTCAATAAACTATGATGCTCAAACTAGTATGCGTACTATTGAAAATTTCCATTTATAACATTGAATTGGGGGGGGGGGGGGGGTGTCATTTTGACAATCTCACACCCAAGGGACAGATTCCTCTAGCAGTTGATACGATATGAGTTGGGTATGTAGGTCTGTCCATTGTAAAATGTAATAAATTGTGCCAGTGCATCTAGGCCAAAGGCAAAGCATAACTTTTCCTAGTAAAGTCTTCCAATTCCTCTGAAACTGTCAAAATGAACAACAGAAGGGGATGGTGTAAGGTGAAATCCTCTGTAATTTAGTGTGATGTTTTTTGTTTGTTTGTTAGTTTGATTATAAATTTCTTTGATTTGATAGAGAAACATGCATGACAGTAATCCCCTTCAAACCATTTCTCACCTCCCTACAGAGCCATGGTAGTGGAGCCAGCAGCGTCATCTCCAGTCGACAACAGAATATCACAAGAGGCCAACGTCCCAACTAGCCATCAGTCCAACGACCAAACTCTAAACAATGCAGTTAGTAGTTCATCTGACCCTAAGGGAACATTAACAAATGCAGCTCCTGCCGAGCCGCAAGTTCCTATGGACTTACCCGTTAGTAATCCTGTTCAAAGCCAGCCAGACACGGCAGCTATAGTTCAAAATAACTGTAAATCCCCTGTTAGTAGTAATCAAGTATCGGTGAACAGTAGCCTTGTGTCGTCGGTCATTTCTAGTCAAGATTCAACGTCTTTGAATATACCTCTCTCCAATTCGAATCCCAACTCGCACGCGGACAACTCTCCCAGCCCCAGTTCGGTCAGCCCGAGCTTGACCAGCACGGACTTGCCTAGCAGCGAGAAATGCGGCATGAGCAACACGGCGCTTCACACGAACCCCGGACAGTGTATACCCACGATGGGTTGTAACGCCGCCGATCCCAATAACTTATCTCCCGTCGAGAACTCGAGTAATCACACCATGGTCAACGATGTCGGGAACACGGACATCGGCATCAACATCAAGGCGGATTTGAAGATGGAGCTGAGCGAGGAAGTGCCGTCGCCGACGACGCCGACGACATCGCCCGTCGATGGGGATAGCAGTCCGGAAGCTGCTGTGACGATCTCGCCGGTGGCCGTTCAGGAGGAGAGCAATAATGTTCATTCAGATCTAGTCAACAATGATGCTAACCTTTCACCTGAGGGGGATGCAGCAGATAAGCTTAGGTAATGACAGTATTCAGTTTAACATGGCAGAAACAAGGCAGAAAATCCCAGGAAATTCTTGGTGTTGCAAGGATGATTGCAAGTTCATGAAAAAATACCTTGACTTATGAATTTTTCCATTCATACTACCTTTATGTATGTGGTTCTGCAGTAAATCGAATTGATGTAGAAAGGTAGTCAATGTGAGTCACAAATCTGTCACAAAATTAATTTAGTCATGTTATGGCCCATTTTTTCTCTCAAGCAAACCATGTTAAAGTTGCGTTAAATTTGGCCACTGTTATATGGATCACCAAGTGTAAACCTTTGCTTAAGTCTGCTAGGGAGCTGACTTAAATTTAGGGTAAATAACTTAGCCAGAAGCATCAACTGAATACCAAAGTTGGCTAAGTATTATATCTAAGCTGAAAACTGAGTAAAATACTCAAATTTCTGACAATACAGTATGGAATTCAATACCAGCCCAGCTTTTGAGTTCAGCCACAGTCCTGACACTATTGTTTTTATGGAACGCCGATGCTCATGTGTGTTTTTTTCCTTGTTTGTTGTTTAGTTTCATTGCCAAGTCTGAGTTCATGAAGTCTGGAGCTAGTTCTCAATCTCCCAGCTCCCCAAGCCCCAATGGACCTCTGGATCTCCAAGACTCTCAACATAATAGGTCAGTTTGGTTTTGACAAATCTTAAAGTTACTATTTGCTTTTTAACGATACAGACCGGTAGTGGTAAAAGGGTTTTGGGTGCAAAATATCCATTCAATATTGTTTAAATATTGCCTTCAGACGTTTAGACGGCAATACTTCAACCTAAATTTATAAAAAGCAGAAATATATGCCCAAATGCTCAATGTTGAAGTGCATTCGCGATATTTATCCAGGCTGGACCGATATGATAATTTACCAAATGTATTATTTAGTAGGCACTTTCCTGGCAAAATTTGTATCATCACGTATTGGTAAAAACATATTTTTTCATATGATTGGTAATTAGAGCTTCCATTTCATTTTTTTGAGAGGGGGGCGTTTCCAAAACTGGTCTATATCTTTAAGGCCTCATTCTGATGTGCCGTCAAAACAACGATAACAACAAAAGGCACCATTTTGAAATGGAAATATTTTGTATCCGGGTAAAGGATCACCATGGCACTTGAGTAGTCTTTGAGTGAGCGGATGTATTAAATGATCAATTTATCCATGTAAAATCCAATAAGAAATCACTATGGATGTACAGTATGATAAGGGTTGTCAAAGTCTGTATTCCAGCTTGAAACTAGAGAGGGAGGGCTAAGGGCAATTGTCCTATGAACTCTTCAGAAATACAACCGTAAACCTATGATAAAGACCACTGTTAATTCAAATTTCTGTTCATGGATTGCGATGTTCAAATTTCTAAACGCGATCATCGAGATATAGTTTGTCTTAAAGCACCACTGTCCTACTTGTAGCTACTTGCTCCTCCTATATAGAAAACTTCCACAATCGGTGCCTGTTGGTCCCCCATGATCCTCTATTTCTTATGTTATTTGGGAGCTGAGTTGATGAGATAGCCACCTGTCAGTCACCTCGCTGTGTGGTCTAATCCCTCCTAGCCACACTTGTTTTGATAAGCTTTAAGAACAAGAGCTGTTGCAAGAAGAGTTTAGATTTTTACCCCTTTGTTCTATTTACCTCTTTCCCTACCTCTACAGGAATGATTCCTCAGATAATATTGACATTCAGGTTACTGCAGTAACTCAGAATGGACCCGTCTGACACAACTCCCCACCCCCGCAATGCACGTAGAACAGTCCATGCTGCCATCCACCCAACAGTGCCGTCGGGTGCAGTCCACTCCGCGCGAGGGAGGAGAGGAGCGTCTCAATCGGAGGGAAGAAATCGATCCCCACAGCACTCACGATAAGCAAGATATATTCTCTATATTCATACATCATCTACGTCTCGCCACATTTTTTCGAATATTTAGCCCCGATTGCGAGAGATGACGAGGTGTTGTGACGATGAGTTTCTTCTGCGCCTGATTTCGCACTGGTCACTTTCGAAGCAGTATTTTGTCTTGTGTCAGGTTTCTTTGCGAGAAAACTCCCCCCTGTGTAGTTATAAAATCCTTTATAGTTAACCAGTAGGTATTTCCATTCAAATTTAACCAGCAGGTGTGAAAATAATCCAGATCTATTTTTGCTAATATCATTTTCTTGTTTCTTGAATGCTTTCACGATTTTTGTTATTAATGCTATTGGGTTTACTCTGTTCATTTGTCTTTGCGAGACCTTTGCCTGTGTATTACTTGTATCCTTTTATTGTGTTTGAAACTGAAATGCATATACCTCAATGGAGTCTGGTGTCTATGAAGCAAAAGTCTTTGATATGTTTTTTGTCGCGTGGTAGGAGCAGCCACCCTTCCCGCAAGTAGGTCAATGTGACATCAACATTCTTTGTACACTTTCTCCATGGAAATGTGTCAGTTACGAAGCTCTCATCGCCATAATTGTTCCACATTTTAGACTACCTCCAGAGTTGCCGTTAGTTGCAGCCAGTGTACTAGACATCAAGACACAAATTACAACCTCTGTGGAATTTAAGATAAATATAAAAGACATTTGGAGTATTGACAAATCATTTATTGAAACGGTAATTCCACATCTTCATTCTGATGAAATTCAAGAGGAAATTCCTGTACCGTCTCAATTTCTTTCAGAATTAATGATTCAACACCTGTAGTTCATACATTTTCATATAATTTGAGCCCAATTAAACCGTGGCCTGCAAACTCGAAGCAAATGATAGGTCTACTTACTTAGGGATACAGAGCACCAAAGCATTACTTGACACTGTAAATCTAGCTTGTAATGTATACCTTTAAGCACATTGCATAACTGGTTTCTAAAGGTAGTAAAAGTCCGGTGTTCAGTTTTATCGGTGTCGGTGTCTCTGAAATGAATTCAGGTATGTATGTTTTGTGTACACACACCTAACTCTGAAGTTGAACTTTACAAGTGTTAATTAATTAATTAATTGATAAGATGTTGGAATGCTCGCTGATAAGGCTCATTCTCAGAGGAATCATAGCGTTTTTGTCCAGCGCGAATGTTGCAACAGTCTTCTGTTACTAAGCATATATAACAAGATGCAACAGCTTATTTAAGAGCACCTAAATTGAGTTGGTACAGCACATTTTTGTTGAGTCTTAAAACCAAAGTTTGCTTCAAGGGGATGCAAACAATTTAATCACATTTGCTTTGCTCCCAGTAAGTTATGATCATTGAGAATTGGACGCGCTATACCCAAGAGTAATGATGATCCAGATCCAACATTTCTGCTTCTTTATTGAATTATGGTAGCAACAAATCTGAATCTGGCCAATAAGCGACACTTCGTTTAAATTTGTTATACTTTAAAAATATCATTCAGAACTTATATACTCCAAGAAAATGTGGCATTGTGACAAATACACTTTCGTTCTTCCACTAAATATTCATCTCATACCAAAGCAGTTATTCACATCAAATTTGAATACAGATGTTATGCACGATTCTAAATGCATTTATCACATTGGCAAAGTTTGTCACGAATAAACCTGTTATGGTTTCTTTTCGTCCATTCAATATTAGAATGCTTTTCTGAACATTTGTTGCATCGATATGTTGGCTAGTTGATGGGACAGTTTGACATTTGGCATATTATAGAGACGTATTTGACCTATTTACACAGTGCGGGACATCAAATAATATTCTTCTTAATTTTCAAAGGTTCTGAAAGTTGTTGTTATTTCTGCAAGGATACGTGAATTCAAGGGCATATATTACATACATTGGTATTTATTATGGGTTAACATTAAACCTGAAGAAAAATCAAATGGGAAACGCTGCTACATTCCTAGATTTTTCCAAATTTGAAAGTCTGGTGTGTATGATTAGATTGCTACTAATTTTATTTTCATTCTCAGAGATTAAAGCTACTATAATCTACAAAATGAAGGCTATGTGAAAAAAGCATTTTTTAAAAATTAGCGTGAAAAGATGTAATGTTTACCTCAAATAATCGGCGATCATTCATCCTAGTGTCGATAGTAAGAAATGAATTCTAGCAAGCAATTTCTTAAACAAGGGTATTGCATCTCTGTACAAGGGAGTTTAATCGATTTTAAAACGCATGGGTTTGGAATATGTGAACTAATTTGTCGGACAGATAACAAAATGTGTTTTATGCTGAATTATCGTTAATGTTATGTGTCGAACATCAAGGGGCTATGCTGTAATGAAAGCAGACTAGGTTCTTCTGTGAATGGGATTTTGTTGAGCTATTTTTAAGAGTGATTGATATGTAATATTCTCTTATGTTTCGATTCAATGCAATTTATCATTTAAAAAAAAAAGAAATCACTGTATCTCTGAGCAGCTGCGATTTGATTTATGCAGTTTGAAACTATGAATGACATACGGTAGCTGTTTGGTGTTGGATATCTCGACACATGCTGTCCCCATACTGATTACATGTGAACACACACCCTGAAACACTAGTTCATTAACAGGATAACATGGATGTGTTCACATGGTTATTTAATATAGGCTGGTATTGGAACACTAACCCACTGTGCTGAGCTAAATCCGGATTTAGTTCAGACTTAAAAAAGGGAATCTGAACAAATCTTCTGGCATTTTAAGTTTTGCATCACCATATATTTGAAGTGCACCTTCCCCCACCAAACAAAACTTATTTCTTATATGACCTGACTTTCAGAACAAGAAGGGTATCTTTTTTACTTTGCCTATTTAAATGATAATATCTTCTTCACTTCACTGCCTGACATACGCGTGCATGTCAATCTAGTCCTAGTGTAAACATTACAGAACTGTGAACAATGTCTTGTGTCTTGCATTGAGTGTGGGGACAGTTCAAGTCTTAAACACACTCAAATTAGGGAGAATTTAGTGTGATTTCTACATTCAGTATGGGGACAGTTCAAGTGTTAAACACACTAAAATTAGGGAGAATTTAGTATGATTTTCTAGATTCAGTATGGGGACAGTTCATGTGTTAAACATTCAAATTAGGGAGAATTCAGTGTGATTTTCTACATTCAGTATGGGGACAGTTCATGTGTTAAACATTCAAATTAGGGAGAATTCAGTGTGATTTTCTACATTCAGTGTGGGGACAGCTGTGTTCTCTAGAGGTGGTTTGTAGTCCAACTTCATGTTGAAGATTAAGAAAAGATAAATACGTTTTTATGGCAGGGATGTCTTTAATAGTCACTAGAATATACATATGGCATGAATGAATGAGAGAAGAATATTTTTATGTCATGAGGTAACAACATATTAAATGTCACATATTTATGTGCCAGTTAAAAGTAAAGAAATGAAAAAAGAGCATATGTATATTTGTTATTCAATTTACTGAGAACATTTGTAAGATATTTTTCAAAGATTGTCTGTCCTTTTCTTTTTAAATACAGTGAATATGCTGAGGATGATTTTCCTTCTCTCTATTATATATTTCTCGTAACAGGAGGAAAAATGCAAATATTTGAATGAAGGCATGTTGTATTGCATTGTTTTTATTTTGTTGTGTGGTTAGTAGTTAATAGATAGTGAATTTCCTTTAATATTTTCAATTTGATGATAATTTATCTTTAACGAGAGGAGAAAAAAATGCAAAAGATGTTCTACGATGTACTTCCAGTTTTCATTTTGTTTTTACCCACAGGAGGGTGGATTGAAATATTGTCATTTAGAGCCCTAAAGGCGCTATTGTATTTGACTGGTATGCAGTGCTTAACGCCTTTATGTCTCTGATAAGACCACTGTTTGTAAATATTAGATATTATAATACACCGTCCTCGCTTAGGACACACACATTATTCAGTGGGAGACAAACATTTTTTTGTATATTGTGAGCGGTAATTAATGTCCAGTCTTTTATGAAATGGTGAAATTGTTGACCACGGTTGCTGTTCTCTCAAGAAAAAAAATGGAACAAAGTTTGCAAATGCTATCGGAGACGTAGGTAACCTTTTATTGCCGTAAGCTGAAGATCACATTATGTCGGTTGACTGCAAGAAGGCCATAATAGCTTTGTATTGTTCATTGTCAGTAACGGCCATCTTACATTAGTTGAGATACAGAAGGGCATTGAATCACATACTGCATTTTACTTGATTTAATGCCCCTCTGGCTCTCAACATGATATGTAATGAGACTTTTCCGTACGGCACTAACGGGGTCAGAAGCACGAGTATGTGGGTATTTATATCTCGGTTTGTCGCAATGTGGGGTAAAGCTGCTGCAATGGAAAGATGGCAGCGGCTGAAAGCAAACTGGCAACGCTCGATGTTGAATGTTCCCTTTTTGATCTGTCTTCACCCTTTTTTTAATGATACATGTTTAACTAGCAACACATTTGAATGAAGAGAGGTCAACCAAGGTGAAAGGTCAACCAAGGTTCACCCAGATGTTTAGATATGTCATAATGGTTACTAAGTGTCTCCTCGAACCCTTTCAATCCTTAGATCCACACTTTACGATCAAGAAACGTCAATCCAAGACAATCGCAAACATTCCCCTGAACTCTACTCAAGGCAATTTATAAACAAATAGGCATATCCTGTAGAAATTATGTTCTGAGTATTTGAGATGCCATTGTAATGTCCGCACATTTAAAGAATCTGTTTGCTTGGAGCCGAAAGGTCATTGACCTGTCTTAAAGCATATGAGTTAGCGCCTCGCGGCTCCAAACAGATGAGCTGTCGGGTCATCGCAGTGTTAGAAATTTAGAGTTTCGGGAAATGTTTGCAATGGTTTCTTTTACCGCGTCTCCACGAATAGATGATAGCATTTAAAGACTGGTGATTCACCCTCTCTTTCCTTCTTTCAGTCATGACGATAACAATGTTATATTTCTAAGAATGTGTGAACGGTCTTTACGATACTGTCTGCCTGATAATTATTATCGGAGAATAACATTTTTCTTTCTCCTCCCTGTGAGTGACCTTGTGGATGACTTGTTTGTATATGATAATAATAAATAATAGAGGACTTGATTTCAATATTTCATGGACACATGTTTTATCTTGATTCAATTGTTATGGTGACAAAAAAAAAAAAAAGGAAAGGAAAAATGCTTATCACAAAGTATGTATATGATTTTACTAAACAGATCTTGTATTTCTTGAGGTCTGTCGGAGGATCGGAGGAAAACTAAATCATAGTGTAGTATTGTTGATGAAAACTTGTACCAGAAGAAGGTTATAAATAATAAATAGTTATTTCCATCTTCCCATTACAAAGCGGAGTGTCTTGTCTTAATTTTGTTATGTCATTTGTGTGCTTTTTCATGTGTATTGAGCGAGGTTAAAGGCATTGTTTCACAATGTTTCCAGTTTTACAAATCTGAGATGCATGGCCCTACGTGTTATCAGTATCTGTGATATGGTGTAATATTGGAGCCCTAAATAAAATTGCGCTTCAAAATGATCATGAAATGCTTCAAAAAAGTAAAAAATCTTTGAGTAACCGGTTTTACCATACTCATTTTCCCTAATAGACTGTAGTGTTTGGCATACAAGTTTTTGACATCATAGATATCTTGATAATCAGACAGGTGATTGGCTTGTAAAGATCATGGGATGGCTTGTAAAAGTCATGGAATTCCTGACTGACCTAAAGGTTTATAATTATGATTGCAGCATGAGCTAAATCCAGAATTTTTTAAAGAATCTGAGGCAAAGCTACCCAATCCCTCTAAAGGGGAAGTCCACCCTAATATTGAGTTGGTTTTAATACGAGCAGAAAAATGAGAGGGACACATAGTGAAAGTGTGAGTAAAATCCGAAGAAAAATAAGAAAGTTAAGAATTTTTGAAGCTGCAGTGTTTAATAATGTTTCCAGTTTTACAAAAGTGAGATGCATGGACCTGTGATATGGTGTAATATTGAAGCCCTAAATAACATTGTGCTTCAAAATGATCATGAAGTGCTTCAAAAAAGTAAAAATCTTTGAGTGACCAGTTTTACCATACCGGCACTCATTTCCCCAATTGACTGTAGTGTTGTTCAAAACGGTTTTTGACATTTCTAATTCCAATCATAAATATCTTGATAATCAGACAGGTGATTGGCTTGTAAAGATCATGGGATGGCTTGTAAAAGTCGTGGGATTCCTGACTGACCTAAAGGTTTATAATTATGATTGCAGCATGAGCTAAAGCCAGGATTTTGTTTCAGAATCTGAGACAAAGATGCCCAATCCCTTGAAAGGGGAAGTCCACCCTAATATTGAGTTGGTTTTAATTGGAGCAGAAAAATGAGAGGGACACATAAGTGAAAGTGTGAGCAAAATCCGAAGAAAAATAAGAAAGTTAATTTTTTTTGAAGCTGCGTTAAATAAAACACAAATTGGCTACTATGACGTATCTTTCGAGCTCCTCTCCAATTTTCCATTAGGCCATTGACGTAATTTAATAAAGTTTGCTGCAAATGTCTTTGTGAAGTGCCAAGATATGAATTATTTCACTCGCCCGTTGTGAATAAATGTATGTCGATCGATGTAATGCTAAATGCATACATTAATTGTTGCTAGGTTGGGCAAAAATGGCTAACACCACGCAGGCAATTTCCATTCTGACTATTCATATTGGGAGGACGATTATTCGTAACGGGTGAATAAAATACTTTGGAAAGGCACTTCACAAAGATGTAAGCATTATAATGTGGTAACATTCTTTAAAAGACCCATTGCTGTAGCATTGAAAAGTTGGAGCATGCAATTGTTTCCTGAATAAATATTCCAGTTTGGGGGCTATAGCACAAAATAGATTGTGACAGCATTCGTAGTAGGTCCATGGTGACAGGGAGGTAGTCAAGAATAAATAAAATGAAGAAGGACTTTGAAGAATTTGGAAAGGGGTCAATCTAAAGTCAAGGGGTCAATCTTTGGCCAAACATTTAGTACAGGGTTTATTGTCGCCTTTCTCTGAAACCTCGGTTATGTTTTCTTTTATTTTCTTCATGATGGAGGTGTCTTGACAGCTCATAATTGCTATGAATTTAATGGATCCATAGGCTATTTCTCATAAAACTTGTTAAATAACAATTGTCGCGATTCGGCAACGCCATTCAAAGGCATCAATTTTTGTAGCTTGTATCAATTACTGTGATGTTTTCTTGCTAACAAGTGATTTGTTAAAGTTACTAGCACCACCATACCAAGAAATCTTGAATAAGTTCTTATTTTCTTTTAAATCTACTGGTATACCTATAAATTAAATTATTCTTTGAGTTGAGATATCTCGAGCATGAAATCAGATGATCAAGATGTCTTGATAGCTCATAAGTTGCTATGAATTTCTCTTCAAACTTGTTAAATATCAACTGCCATGATTTGCCAACTTGTTTACCCCACAGCCAGTCAAAGGGCATCAATTTTAGTAGCTTGTATCAATAACTATGATGTATTCTTGCTTAAGAGTGATTTGTTAAAGTTACTAGCACCACCATACCAAGAAATCTTGAATAAGTTCTTATTTTCTTTTAAATCTACTGGTATACCTATAAATTAAATTATTCTTTGAGTTGAGATATCTCGAGCATGAAATCAGATAATCAAGATGTCTTGATAGCTCATAAGTTGCTATGAATTTCTCTTCAAACTTGTTAAATAACAACTGCCACGATTTGCCAACTTGTTTACCCCACAGCCAGTCAAAGGGCATCAATTTTAGTAGCTTGTATCAATAACTATGATGTATTCTTGCTTAAGAGTGATTTGTTAAAGTTAGTAGCACCACCATACCATGCAATCTTGAATAAGTTCTTATTTTATTTTAAATCTACTGGTATACCTATAAATTAAATTATTCTTTGAATTTAGATATTCCAAGCATGAAATCAGATGATCAAGATGTCTTGATAGCTCATAAGTTGCTATGAATTTCTCTAAAAACTTGTTAAATAACATCTGCCACAATTGGCAAAATGCCACTCCAGCAAAGCACAGAGTGAATGCTAATGCGTATTGAACTCTAGCGCTGTACTACGTGCTGAGGGGCAGCAATTACACACAATACACACACTACACACAATTGCACACTAACGCACACAATGAATACGATATATCTGATTGGCAAGTTCGACAGTAGACTCGCGCTTCAAATCTTCAAAATATTCTTTCTAACATTGGTAAGTTGAAAAAGATTGTATTTTACTGCTAGTTAGGTGTCATCAATTGTCACTAAAATACTGATTTTTAGTGAAATCAGTTGAGTTTTGTACATGCAGTGGTGTTTGAAATGTTCAGAATCAATAAAACAGTTTTTAATACACAGCCAGGATAGTAATGCAGCTATGTGTGCAACATGCTACCTCATAGCCAGTCAAAGTCATCAATTTTAGTAGCTTGTATCAATTACTATAATGTTTTATTGCTAACAAGTTATATGAAACAAGACAGCAAGTGATTTGTTAAAGTTACTAGCACCCACCATACCGTGCAATGTTGCATAATTTCTTTTGAAAACGTGCTACCGGTATCTTTAAAAATTAATTATTCTTTGAGTTGAGATATCGCGAGCGTGAAACCAGATAAACGTACCTGGGTAAATCGCTCACATCGTCGTCGGGGGTAGACAAAAGGATATCACTTTACATTTTCAAGTGAAAAGTAGATGGGTTGTTTCACTACATGCATATGCATTCTCTATCTACAGTGCTGTACATGTCTATTTGTCAATACATGTATAATTATGTTTCTATGTTATCTAGGAAGCTAGATGAATATATCTTCATGTATGTGTATATCTTCTCTGTCTTTTTACTCGTTAAAGCCCCTCTAAAGTGTTGGGAGCCCAAAGAATCTGTTATGTGAAAAAGGATGTCATTTAAGACGCATTTCTGCAATGATTTTTCAAACAAATGTGTCTAAAGTCGAATATTGCTGAAAGAATACAAAATTTAGGTTTTCTGCGTACAACAGAAAACCTAGATTATGTATTCTTTTCTCAATATTTGTCTTCAAACACATTTTTTTGGGGGAAACCTTTGCAGAAATGTGTTTTAAATGACATCCTCTTTCACATTATGATACAGTTTAAGTGAAACACTTTAGAGGGGCTTTAAGCCTATCTCTATATCTTGCATCTGTAGTTCTGTTTATATATTCAGTTAACAACTAAATTATTCATGTTTGATGTTTTTTGTATTTTTCGTAACTCAAGAATGAAAGGTGGATACTTTTAGATGTAAGCTTTGATATGTTGTATTCTTTAAGAAACTTAAATGAGGACAGATCAATTATCACATACTTCAAAAATTCAAATCTTGGAAAGGGTATGAATATTTGAGTTGTTAACTGTATCTGTATCTCTCCATCTCTATACAACCATGGAGGGGAGGGGGGGGGGGGGGGTCTCTTTGTACTCATCCCTGCAAGTCTGTCTCTCTCACTCATTCCATTCCCTTCTCTCTCACACACACTCTCCCCTGTCCTTCTCTTTCTCACACACATTCCCCCTTCCCTTCTCTGTCTCACACACATTCCCCCTTCCCTTCTCCCTCTCTCACTCATTCCATTTATCCCCCTCTCCTCTCTATTTCTCTCACTCAGTCCCCTTCCCTTCTCTCTCTCACACACATTCCCCCTTCCCTGCTCCCTCTCTCTCACTCATTCCATTTATCCCCCTCTCCTCTCTATTTCTCGAACTCATTCCCCTTCCCTTCTCTCTCTCACACACATTCCCCTTCCCTTCTCTCTCTCACACACATTCCCCCTTCCCTTCTCTCTCTCACACACATTCCCCTTCCCTTCTCTCTCTCACACACATTCCCCCTTCCCTTCTCCCTCTCACACACATTCCCCTTCCCTTCTCCCTCTCACACACATTCCCCTTCCCTTCTCCCTCTCACACACATTCCCCTTCCCTTCTCCCTCTCACACACATTCCCCCTTCCCTTCTCCCTCTCACACACATTCCCCCTTCCCTTCTCCCTCTCACACACATTCCCCTTCCCTTCTCTCTCTCACACACATTCCCCTTCCCTTCTCTCTCTCTCACACACATTCCCCCTTCCCTTCTCCCTCTCACACACATTCCCCTTCCCTTCTCTCTCTCACACACATTCCCCCTTCCCTTCTCCCTCTCACACACATTCCCCTTCCCTTCTCTCTCTCACACACATTCCCCCTTCCCTTCTCCCTCTCACACACATTCCCCTTCCCTTCTCTCTCTCACACACATTCCCCCTTCCCTTCTCCCTCTCACACACATTCCCCTTCCCTTCTCTCTCTCAC